AAATAGACCTACATAAAAATTTAAACTAGTTCTTCTTCATGAAAATGTAATCAAAATCCAGCATCTGAAGCAAATTTGAGAATTTTCATCTCTTGATGAAAACTTTAACCTGTTCACTCAACCGGAAAAAGTAGGTAAGATTCAGCATCCGAAGCAAGCCAGGTAGTGTGCATCCTTAGATGTATCATCCATGCAAGTTTGGTCAACATAGGGCTTATAGTTACTTGGAAATGAAACATGCACTAATAACCTGTTCACTCAACCGGAAAATGTAGGTCAGATTCAGCATCCAAAGCAAGCCCGGTAGTGTACATCCTTAGATGTATCATACATGCAAGTTTGGTCAACATAGGGCACAAAGTTACTTGTAAATGAAACCTGCATCAAAAACTTTAACCTGTTCACTCAACCGGAAAATGTAGGTCAGATTCAGCATCTGAAGCAAACCCGGTAGTATGCATCCTTAATGTATCATTTTTTGGTCAACATAGGGCTTATAGTTACTTGGAAATGAAACCTGCACTAAAAACTTTAACCTGTTCACTCAACCGGAAAATGTAGGTCAGATTCAGCATCCGAAGCAAAACCCGGTAGTATCCATCCTTAGACGTATCATCCATGCAAGTTTGGTCAACATAGGGCTTATAGTTACTTGGAAATGAAACCTACACCAAAAACTGTACCAAAAATGTTAACCTGCTACAAAAACATTAACCTGGCCATTCCTTTGCTGAAATTGCAGCATCTGAAACTTTGACTGGTACAATGAAACACACTAGAACCATCTTCCATGCATGTCTAATCAATATAGGACACAGAAGTACTTCAAAAGAAAACTGCTCCAAAAGACTTAACCCTAACCTTGGACGCCGACGTGGACGCCGACGCCGAGGGTATTACATAAGCTCCCCCAACTTCGTTATGGTGAGCTAAAAACGCAATGTCAGTCAAAATAATTTAGGTTCAATTTAGTTTTACGTAATTTTATTGAAAATAAGGGTTGAAACTGGCAATTTTTCTCATCCAGACAATTTTACAAAGGATTTGAAAAACAGAATGGAATATTTTATGAACATTTTACGGTTTGCTTGTTGTCTGTGAAATATATCCAAATCAACAACCCAGTTATTATGTCTAGATCAATTTAGGTAAGAATATAGATTTCTCGTGTTTGTCTAATGAGAATGATGCAGATATGCACCGGGAAGGATAACGGAATTTACTACGATAGCAGTATACAATTATTGACTGAGTTCGAGGGCAACATGCGTTTTGTCGGACCCAAGAACCAAACTGTCTGCCTGAGGCCGACTCTGTCAATAAATGTTTTGTTTAAACCTTTCATTTTATTTTATACTTTTGACACATATGTATTTTGTAATATATTCCGTAATGTAACATTAGGTCTGTCACTGTTTTACACCAACGGATGAAAATGAGATTAAGCTCCGCCCATTCTGTGACATAATCGGTCCAACAACTCTCCGAGCGGTCCAACATCTTTCTCAGCGGTCCAACATAGATTTTTTTTTCTGCCCACCCATCAAAACATTAAAAATGTTAGACTTTTTTCAGTGTAGATTTGTATAGGAACAAATTTGTAAAGGTATAACAATACTTAGAGCTGAGTTCTCATCAAACAACGGTTACTCTGGCTAATTTTTTTTTTAATATCAAAAACTGATCATGATTAGGTGTATGTAAAACATCCAGAGAGATAAAAAAATGTGTTGAGTGAGTTTCTTTCAATTTGCAAGCCAATTCATTTTCCTTTTGAATGAAGATATAACTGCACTGACCTGCACTGCATTGTATTTATATAAAAGATACATGTACTTGGTCAATATTTCTTCAAGTTTGATTTTATGAAATATACGTTGAAAACGTACTCAGTTTCATTTTCAATGTTCTTCCTAGGTTTATTTATAATTATTACATAAACTTTAACAGGGTTGTTTTCTTACTATGTATTTGAATTAACAATTGATAATATCGACAAAATGCATTATAATAAAGATACATTTGGTTAAGTAGTGAGAATGATGCAAATATGCACCAGGAAGAGTAACGGAATTTAATCAACATACAGTTACTTTTGCTAATTCTTTAATTTCTAAAAAAGTTTATACTCGTATGCAAAAGTTCCAGAGGATGTTGTGTTGGGTGAAGTTCTTTCAATTTACCTGCTAATCAATCCTTCTGTCAATTAAAAAAGATATAAAGGCAGTAAAGTGTGTTTTATTTAAAATATTTCCATTTCTTATTTTTTTTTTCTATGATAACCCTTTGAAAGCAAGCGGAGTTGATTTCCTAATAATTTTGCCGGAATGTAAATTAGGCAGGTCGATAGGACTAAGGTCAGGAGCTAAGGAGGCCTAGTACGCATGCAAATCTCGTGCTCATCTGTCTCTGAGTCTGACGCTAAGGAGGTCAAATATACTTGGTTAATATTTACATTATGTATTCAAATTTGATTTTTTAAAAAAATATATTGAAAAGTTTTTATTTTCATATTTAGATTTCTTTCTGTGTTTACTTATATAACATGCACATCGACTGTTAAACTATGTTTAGCTCATTTTTGTGAATTTGGCGTGCCATAGTTACCCAGTATGTATTGATAATTTTTTTAACCGACAAGTTTTGGTATGAAAAATAAATATGTGAAAAGTTTTCACTCAGGTGACCTATTGCAGATCTCTTTCTGTGTTTACTTATATAACTTTGAACCTTTTTATTCGTCTGTTAAACCAATTTCAACCAAATTTGGTATACGACATCTACGGGTTTTTTGAATTTTAGGGTCGTTGCCCCTCTGTGGCCTGAGGGGTGGGGCCAAAACCACTAAAATTAATGCAATCTTTAAAAATCTTTTTCTTTACTCCTAGACATCAAGCAGTCCTCTATCAAAATTGTGAAATTCATGGCCCTGGGGTCATGGGTTCTAGTGCTAGGGTGGGGCTAAATAGATTACCGGTATATAGTGAAAATTCATTATTTCTTTGAAAATTTTCTTCTCTGCTCCTGGGTATTGAATAATCTAAACAAGTACATAGTTATGTTGAATAAGGCTGCCTCTTCCAAAATTGTAGGGCAGGGCTATATATACAGATTATATAGTAAAAATGCATTATTTCTTTGCAAGTCTTCTTTGCGCCTGGGTATTTACTAAACAAACTGAATACATAGTTATGTTGAATAAAGCTGCCTCTTCCGAAATTTTGAACTTCATGGCCCTGGGTGAGTTCTGGTGATAGGGCGGGGCTCTATCAATTATATAGTGAATAGCAGAAATTCTTTGAAAATCATCTTCTCTACTCTTGGGTATTAAACAAACTAACCAAGTACATAGTTATAATGAGCAAAAACATTTCTTCCAAAACTGAATTTCATGGCCCATGGGTTGGGGGTTCTTGTGTTAGGGTGGGGCTCTATTGATCATTTAGTGAAAATACATTTATTCTTTAACATCTTCTTCTCTGCTCCTGAGTATTAAATAAACAAACAAGTACATAATTATGTTGAATAAGAGTGCCTCCTCCAAAATTGTAAATTTCATGGCCCCTGGGTCAGAGGACTGGGTGTTAGTATGGGGCTCTATTGATTATATAGTGAAAATACATTAATTATTTAAAAATTTTCTTCTCTGCTCCTGAGTATGAACCAATGAACTTTGTACATAGTTATGATGAGAAAGGATGTCTCTTCTAAATTCATGAATTTCAGGCCCACTGCCTGACTGGGTCACAAGTTTTGGTGTTAGGGCAGGGCTCTAATGATCATATAGTGAAAATTCATTAATTCTTCGAAAACCTTTTCCTTTGCTCTTAGGTATTATGTCAATGTTTTATGTACATATCAATGATGATGAAAGGTACCTCTTCCAAAATGGTTAATTTCAGGGCCCCTGGTTCAGGGTACTTGGGGTAGGGGTTACATAGTCTGAACATAAATTACATGTAATGCTTTGATATCTGCTTTTTGGTATTATTAATAAATCAACCATTTATGATGATATATTAAAATTTATGATAAAATTTCCAGAATTTTGAAAAAATTGTGCCCCCAGGGTCAGTGGTTCCCGTGGGGTGGAGTACACAACTGGTTATGGAAATGCATTTTCTCTTTGCTACTCTTATTTACCTCTGGGTATTAAGTAACCATAGGAAGCAAGCTTTGTGTATATTTATGATAAGCAATAGTGCCTCTTTCAAAATTTTGAATTTCATGGCCTTTGATTTAAAACACAAACCAAGTCAATTGTTAGAAAGTTGTTACATGATACTCAGGTGACCAATAAGGCCCGTGGGCCTCTTGTTTATATTTGCCAGAGAATTAATCCTGCTTATCTTAATAAGAATTTAACAGCACATGCGCACTTTATTGCACTGGACTAGAATGAAATGACAATCAAAAATTAATTAAATTAAATCAAGTCCAACTGAACTCTCCATTAGCCAGTATGACAAATTTTCGGCACAGCCAGGTGTGTTATAGGACCAAAGACATCCCAAAATATGAATTCAATGCTTATATTTACATTCTCTATGATTTTCCTTCTTCATAATTGTTTATTTTGTTAATCTTAAATGCGAATTTAGCGCCCTTCAAAACTGACGTGGTTAATCGATGCAAGAGCCGTCTGTGACGTCAAATGAAGTTGCAAAGTTAAATAACGCAAACAAACATTGTGAGGGTGATGTGACAACTTAATTCTTATCGCACATCACGTTAATTTTTACGTTTATTTTTCAGGGTAATAGATTTTCATTAAATTAAAATAAAATATTTTATATTTTGGTGTTCCTAGAGTATCGAAAATGCATATAGTTCCTACTGTGTATTCAAACGCACCGTGACAAGGTTTCGCGTGTGTAATTGAAATTTGAACGTCGTAGATTTCTAATGGATTTCATAAGGAAAATTACATAGAATGTAAATATAAAATAGATGAAAATAAATAAATTAATGAATAAACAACTCCCATACTAAACAAGGCCTTCAAAGCAAAGACTAAAGTTTTGCTAGTTATAAAATATTTATTTGTTAAATTGATAATCAATATCACATGTCATTTCCGCTTTCCTTTCGGAGCCTTTTCCCAACCTTTGATGTACTTCTTTGGAATCCTATATTTTCCTACAAATGGATTTTTCCAATTCATTATTCAAAATAAAAATCAATCATTCATCAGAACAAAATTCACACAAATAATCTTTAAAATAATCAAGTTTAATGAGGGCATCACAAAGCAGAATATCCCCTCAATAAGATTATACCTGTACATGTATCTTTAAATCAAGTCAGCATTTGCCATTGATCCCAATGCAGATTACTTCACTTCTGTTTCATACAGGACTAATTCAATCACCCACCAACGAACACATAGAATTGTGATACTCCCCCCCCCCCCCCTCTCCAACTCCTTGCGAGGGGATAATGATATTAAAATCACCTGTTAATAGATCTGTAATAACAAGATGCCTCACCTGTTAATAGATCTGTAACAAAGGCTATCTGATTGCCTTGGATGACCACTTGAGTTTTATTGGAACTGCTTGTGGACACAGTACAGCTGCACTGGATAGTTATCTGGATCTCGTGTGCTATCTCCTTAAGATCCAGACCAAACACTTCCAGGTTATCTACTGTAGTCACCTTAAAACACAACAACACAATTAGAAATCTGCATATCTGATAGCAAAAACTTGCTACTTCTTCATTTCTTACACTTAAATTTATGCAATATGATTTCAGAAATAAGTTAAGTTTAGATATAACACAAGTTTTAGTAATAAAATGTAAAACAAGTGTTATTTAATAAAATGTAAAACAAGTGTCATTTAATAAAATGTGAAACAATGTAAAAATTCAAATCAGTCATCGAGTTCCCTGGCTGAGTTCCATTTTCTTTAAGTTACAAACCCTACCTTTTTATTGGACCCTCTTTGGAACACATTAAGAGTTATTTCCTCTATTTTGCCTTTCCTAATAACTGGAGCTTGTCCAGGGAATTCTACTTTGTATACATTCTGCATTTTGTTTGCAATTCTGTTGAGAAAAAAATTATACGTCAACCTCATTCTTTCAGAGGGCTCCCATCTTTATTTTATTTATATATCTAACAACATTTTTAATACAATGTACCATGACTTCCATGGACCATAATGCATTCTGAATCTCTGTTTACCTTGAGGTTAAGTCATCCCATCGTAGTTGTGTGACATCATTTTCTCCTTTACCCAGGACTATGGAAGCCAACAGTGGATCTAGTTTAACCATGCTAAATAGAGAATATAGAAAGTTCATAAGAAAATTATCACTCTCCATTAAAAAAATTAATTTTGATATAAAGATGGATATCATCATAAACTCATAACAAACACTGAAATGATTCATAATTATACAACAATATTATTCAGAGGTGTTAAAATTTGAAACTAATATGAAAACCATCACTCTTCATTCTCACTTGTGTCCTGGGTCTATAAATGTCCGTTTTCTAACGTACCTTTTGTTGCTCTCATCCTGTAGATTGTTTTTCCTCACGTATTCATTGACAATGTTCCTCAGCTCTGTTCCCGTTATTGCACTTCCCTTCCTGTGGAAAAAAATTCTCTCATTATTTACATATGAAATGCAAAAAAAGAGGTCACAAAGCATTATGTGAAATTAATACATTAAATACATATAGGTAAGGCCAGAATTAAAAATATCTTTGTTTCCCCTAACCAGACCCTAAATTCTCAAGTTAGGTCGGTAGGTAGGTAAACAATTTTATTTTCCGACAGTAGCTTTTTAAGGGAAATTTACCTTGATGAATAAGAAAATTACAAAAGAAAGCGATTTGTGAACAAAATGCTATATCGTACATATGCCGTTTAAAAGCAAAATTCATGATTAATTATTTAGTTGAACTTGTGAAATATCTCATGCCATTACATTTATATAAATTGAATAAAAAAGACAAGATTCTCAAATACGCAAAGACCAGACATATGGGTATATTTTTTCAAACCTTCCATCAGCCTTAAGAGCTTATAGACGATCATGGTAATTTTTTGAGGGCCATGAGATATGCAGTGGTACTGGAGCATTTTGCTTTAGAGTTAAGAAGTGAGTGGCTAATTTTAAATCGCAGGTTCAAATCCAAATGAGTAACGTTGAAAACAGTTCTTTAAAGGGGACCATAAAAACTTATGTCCAGTGTCGCAGAAGATGCTGGCTCAAAAAAGATCCCCCACTGCTTAATGGCAAAAAAGTGCATACATGTACGTCTAAATTTGGATTAATGGGGAAATGTTGAAATGTCGTCCTAACAAATCTCAAAGGGATTAAAAGCAAAGAAACAACCAATCTTCAAGGGCTTAATTAAAGAAAAATACACTGGACGTCTCCGGAAGCTGAATCATTTCAAAACTATTTGAAAAGAATATGTTAACAATATTTAATTGAACCAAACCGAATCTACGAATGATAAAAATGCTATATACAATGTCATAGTCACAAAGTTTAACCACTAAATAAAGGCATGAAGAAAGGACATCTGTATTATATTTATCAGGATGAATATGCAGACATATTTACAACAACACCTGTTTTCCATAGGTGGACCTTTCATCTATTCATGAGGCGGGCCTAACCATGTATTACGTACCTTAATTTCAAAGATAGATTTGTTTACTTGTTTGTTGTTTAACGTCCCTTTCGAAAATTTATTCACTCACATGGAGACATCAAGACACCTCCGAAACACTTTTAATTATTCAATTGGTAAATTTTAATATCGAATTGTTTCAAGAGTGAAGAATTCCAATAAGCTAAAAGCATAAGACTGTGACGTCGCCATGGTTTTATGAAGTGCTAATGCGCTGAATTCACATCTGGACGTCATTTTGTTTCCAACAAATTCTTGAAATGCTTGAAAATAGAACAATGTCGGCCGTTCTGATAAAAACTGATTTTGATGATATTGTATTTCATAAAATTTGGTTAACAATAAAAAAAATATTTGAATCAACTTATTTAAAAAATCTTTTCAGTCGGCGCGATTTCATCGAGTCGGTCGCGTTAGGGGAAACAAAGGTTTTTTTTATTTTGGCCTAAATAATGTGTTTTATTATATAGTCTATTTATAGTCCCTATATAAGCTATACTAACGCGAACAGTTCATAACACTACATATTCACCGGATTTTAGGCCAGAAGGTCAATGCGCGTGCAACAGCATTGTGGTGTCACAATCAAAACATCAAATAACGTTGTTAACAAGGGTTGCAACGGCCACAGCGAGCTACATATCTGAGCAGAAAAACAATTATTCAAACCTATTTCAGGATTATTATTTTCATTTGGACGTCTTACACATAGCAAAACTCGGAAAGGAAAACACGGAGGTTACAAAGAGTAATCTGGAGATTTTTTTTATTTTCAACAATGGAAGATCGCAAATGAAAATAGTGTCGTCATACAGCCTTCAATGTCTTATTTATTCAAATCCCGACTATATAATAAAACAATTATGGACTCTTTTGGTGTTGAATATGGTTTGTTATTCACCAGAAAAATATCCATATTGACTGTGGTGAAGCCGAGGTGAATATGGATATTTTTCTGGTGAATAACAAACCATATTCAACACCAAAAGAGTCCATAATTGTATAATATTCAATGGTATAGATATACATGTATTCTGTACTACATACTGCATAAATACTGCTTTCATGATTTGTCATAACAGAATGAAACTACCAGTACTTATAACAAATTGTGTAGCCTGTGCAAGATTTTTTTTCTCCTGTCTTAAATTCTACAAACTTTAGTCCTAAATCCTTGACAAGGGGAACAACTGCTGCTGTGACAGACAACATGTCAGTGATGCGGGGAGGTTCATAATGTCTGGTGGGTCCCTCAGAGGGTTGTTCCAGGACTGCAGCCCCCTCTGGTGGAGTAATATGCCGTAACCTGAAGAGAAGACAACTCTGTACAAATCGCATTTTTTAAGGCTCATATTTTTTATCAAATGCATTCAAGAGAAGAAATTTTTTAGAACCTTTATGTGAAGTGTTGTTTACTTACTCCGGGTGATCTTTTTTCATTTCTATTATGCTCTCCACTCCTTTTGTTAATTCCTTCACTTTAACATAGCCCAGCTTCTCCATTTCCTTCAGAAACTTTGACAACTTTTTAAATGAAGTCTTTTTGACATCTAAATGTTTATCTGCTGGGCTAGTGAAATGAAAAAGTAATAAGTTAAAATTTAGATCAGGAAGTTTTTTTAAATTTTTTTTTTTACATTTGCTTATTTCTAAAGACAACACCCACCAGAATTTAACCATATGGACTTTGTAGAAAGCACTGGTTAGAATGGGTAGGTCCACTGGTTTGAGAGATTTTTTCAGAGCACACTGGAAACACAGCTTGAAAAGATCATCCATGGATTCTACAATAAAAAAAAAATCATGATGTAATTATGAGATCACCTGCATGCCAAAGTATTTGTTTAATAGAGATTATATTTAACAATTTACAATATGTGTGAAAATTTTACTTCATTTATGCGTTTATTCCTAACTATCCCACTAAAAAAAATATAATGAAAATTTTGTGATCTCCAGTTGTGTAAAAGATACATCACACAAATGTCATGGTCAAAGGGTATTCTTTACATTTGAATTGACCAAAGACCAAGTAACCTCCAAAATATGTTTTTTCCTCTACTGATTCTCCATTAATTTAGTACAGTTGTACAGATTCTTGTAACAGTACAAAATTCTTGCACACAGAAGAGGAAACTTGGTGACTTTTTTAAACTACAAATGCAATTAAAATATTCCTGTAGATACCAGCAGGTGCTTGATCCTCAGTTTCCTCTTTTGACACCACCTCCTCCTCAGCTTCGACTTTTGACACCTCCTCCTCTAAACTCATTTTGTCTGTGGACAGAACTAATTCCTCATCATCATCTTTCTCACCGGAGATGTCCCCCTCTACTGCTGTTTCCTGTTGAGGCCCCTGAATTTCCTCCCACTGATCTGACCCCTGGGAGTTTGTAACCTGAGGTGTGTCACTATCTTTATATTCATCCCCATGTGAACTTGCTGGGTCAGTGGCTGGATCTTGAGATTCTTCTGGTATCACAGGTGGCTTTGATTTGTCTCCAAAGGCCCTGCAACAAAAAAATAGTAAATATACTGCAAGAAGCATTGAAATTTAACAATTGATCATCAACTTAGTAGCAAAGCATTCTGTTGTATACTTCACTGCATTTCAAAATCTTTTGTACTTTAGAATTCAAAAACAATTAAAAGCTGTAATGTTTACCATAATTCATCTCCTAGAATATGCAGTACATGAATTCCCTTTCCTCTCATTGCAGAATCAAACATATCACTTCCTGACATGGCCGCTGTACCAACAGCCACTGGGCTCCTAGTGGAAAAATAAAACATATATATATTAAAAACCATATCAATTTTTTGGGGGGGTGAGGGGAAAAAGAGGGGGTAATTTTAAAGTACAAGAATTGCTTGAAATATGTAGCATAAAACACATACCGATTCCCCACCAATGAGATAGAACACACTGTTCCTTTGTTGATGTGAGCAAATGTTTTTGGAGTTACCTCCCCTTCAACAACCACCCCTGGTAACATTAAATCTAGGATAAAAGAAAAGGAATAAGTCTAAAATGTTTGTAGATCACCAACAGTGAACAAATTTTGAAAATCTGATGTAACTCATTTATGACGCTTCTTTATTTTTAGTGCTACTCATATTTCATTCTCTGATGAATAAAAAAGACCCTATTGGAACCAATCAAATATAAACATGTACTGTGAAGCTTAGGCAGAATATAAAACATATGTCTCAGAGCACATGTAGCGTATGTCTAATCAAGCTGCCATATACATTCAATTCTACATCTTATACTGTTGGAAAAATATTTTCAGTTCTGCTAAATTCTGCGATACAGTGTATCTAGGTTGAATGTACATATAACCTACCAATGTAGTGTATGTATGTAAAAACATATTGTACCTGCACCACCTGCTAGTTTTGTGAAAACAGGTGGATGTGTTTTAAACACTGGCAGAAGATCTGGATATTTCCACAGTGTGTACACAGTGGGAAAAATGACTCCATCCACATCTATTAAAACAGGGTTCTTTTCCACACAATAAACAAGAACGTTAACTCCGGAATGTGTATTAATTTTTGCAATGGTCATCTCAGCTTTGTTTGGAACGATATCAGAGGCATCCTTTGGTGATAAGGACGGGTAACAGTTCTGTAAAGTTGATTTGACTTTCTTCCTGAAACACAATAATAATAATAGATCATAAGAAAATTCAAATGTTAGGAATTACCAATGTGCCATATAAATACTTGAAAAAAGGAAATGTAGTTATCTTACCTATTCAATTAAAAGAAAGGTGAAAACTGGTTTGTATTAAATTGAATTAAATTTAGGCCGAGGGATACTGTACAAGAAATCAGGAGGGAGACATTCCGGGTATATTGTTGTTGTGCGACTAGATAGAATATGTACATTCCAATATCAAAATTATAATGTCCTAGGGACCCGGTGGGCCTGTCACGAAACAGCTAGATTATTCTAACGCATGTGGAACATGCTAATATATATTTTTTTTTTTTATAAAGTAAGCACCAGAGCTAACTCTAAATTTGCCCAAATGGTGTTGCTTCCTGTCGATTAGTTCGCAAAGCTCACTGATTGATGCCGTTCAAATTGCTTCACTCATTAAACACTAAACAGCTGACTTCTGTGATATGACAGCTGAAATAAACTTTAAAGAGTGTCAAATCGTTGTTTCCTACCTATCAGATCCTTTGATGCTTGTCTGAGTTTTTACCCTAAACGGTTTCAAAAACATATTGACTAGTTAACCTCCAGCAGATGTGAACAGTTTCAGTTTACTTAAATTACTACTGACATCAGTCTGCAGTCTGACTGTAATGTGCAACTTCCGGTTGTCCCGATTACGTTAGTTTAACGACATAAAGATTTTGTTTGAAAAATACGTTTTTAATTCATTCCATTGGAAAAATTCCTTAATTGATTTCTGGTAAATACAATAAGCTGATATCTATATGAATTTATTTTATTATAATAAAATTTTTCATTAAAAGGATTGTCGTAAATATTTTAACCAATCATCATCTTCGATACAAATTTAGTAAACGAATGAAAACGTTTTTCATATCGTACGAATCGACGTCTCCTTAGTGACCATTTGATGCGGCAACATGGATTCTTATTTTAACATTTGCTGAAGTTGACGCTAAAAAATTACAAAATGACTGATATACTTTGTAAATGGCTCAACGATGAGCTGAGTATAACACAGCAAGTCGGTAAGACTTCGTTTAGCAATAGAAAATAGTTTCAATTATGATTCTAAGACTTTCACACAACATTTTGAAGATGCATGTGACTGTATGCAGTGTGTTTACAAAGCCATGACATTAATTTGCATCGATTCATTTAATTTGTTTTTAAGGATGATTTATATACATTGTTTTAATCATTATTTTTCAATTTATAGCAGGTTGCATAAAAAAGATCATAACATTAGCATGTTCAAAATGAGACTTTACATTTTTCAGTGTAAATGTGATTTAAATATATTCTTCAAAAATCTTGTTCGCCCAATAAAAGTTATGGTCCAATACTTATATATTATATTATATATACTTATACTTATATATAATAACTTTTTGAAATAAAGAAAAAATTATTTGGATTGATTTTGTCTATTTTACAGCTCCTGAAGATGATATTCTCGAAAGCAGGCAAAAGTGTATAATCAGAAACAAAATTTTTGCTTAGCATAAATTCGCTATTACCGCATATATTAAAAAAGAAAATATTTGATATTTTTTTCACGTATCTCAAGTTGTATTGGATGACTAATATCAATGTTAATTAAGTCAACAGAACTCACTTATCCGATTTGGAATTTTTGGGCTAATGTAACTTCAACTATCACGACCATGGACCTGTGTTTTAAAATGTACCAAAAATGTACTTTGAAAATGTTAAAATCAATATTAATGAATTTAAAAACTTTCAGTTTAATTGATTGAAGAAAAAATATTTACAACTAAGGTATGACTTACAAAATGAAACAGTATCTCAAATTTATTTTAAAATGTACATTAGCTCATTAGGGTAACGACTCATGGACCTCCGAGGATAAATACTAAAATAAGTTGCTAGAACCAGTTCTTAGATTTCTGCTCTCGATGGACTGTTGCCTTTAAAAAAATGAAACTTAATTTTTAGACCAAGTAACTTTTGCCAGAGAATTTGCATCGGGATATCTCATTGGAGAAGTCCTAAACAAGTATCAGCTTCAGAATGATTTTGATCAATTCTCTCAAAGCAAGTAAGTATTAAAGTTGAAAAGAACTACGAACTCTAAGTCTTGATTTCCGCCTACATTTTGCACCCATTAAATTCAATTTTAATGGCAATTTAGTGACCATTAAATCTTTGTTTAATACAAAGATCAGGTCTATGGTAAATGATTAATCATTTTATTTCCAAGGTGATAATTGATTTATTAATTCCAGTTCTTGAAAAAGGGGGGTACGCGATATTTTCTGTTGAAATCGAACTTTCAAGCATCACCATATTTTGAAATAGTTTTCAATATCATAAAATGTATCTCATATCTTTTCTTATGTTTTACGTAAATAAATAAAACATATATAAATAAATAAAATACAATTATTTAGTTGTAAATAGCTTTAAAATTTGTGAAAATCATCATTGTTTTCCTTTTTGTCAATATGAAACATATTTTGAAACACAAAAAGCTTTGGCATAAATTTGTTAAATGACATGTATTAAAAATAAAGGAATTTTTGTACCACGCGACGCTGGTCTATATATTTCATATATAACGAATTGATTTCTATATGATAAACACAAGTTTAACCAAAATTAAAAATCTCTCTTTGATATCCCAAATAAGAAATTTTTTGAAAATTCATATAAATATTCACTTAAGATTTCGAAAATCATATCGTTGTTTTTTGAAAATTGACTGTAAAGGTAGGAACGGGAGAAAATCATTACATCCGGTTCTTTCAATACCTAATACACAATACTTTCTGATTAATATAAAGGTCATATCCACAAATTAAGATATTTTAATTAATTAATTCAGTTAGAATTGCTAAAGAAGAAGGTATGGTTTCGATACATATTTTGCCCTGTGATTTTCTAAAAAAAAATGAAACTGGTGTAAAAGTTTTAATCATTATTTTTCAATTTAAATAGCAGGTTGCAGAAAAATCATAACATTAGCATTTTTCTAAAAATGTGTTTTACATTTTTCAGTGTAAATGTGATTTTCCCGTATATTCTAAATAAAGTACTAAAATAAGTTCTAATCTAATTTTCTTTCAGATAACATTGTCCACAGGCATCGCCCACAAAAATGAAATGTGATTTTTATTAATTTTGCACAAAATATCAAAAAATTTTGGCGACGGCTGTGGACACTGTTTTCTATATCTCACCCTTGAAATGTGCCATTTTGAGGCAAGTATCAGAAATGCTTCACATTATGACTTTGATTTGCAATTCTCTCAAAGCAATATTTTTTAAATTTAAAATTTCAATTTTACCTAATATACACATTTAAAACTTTTTATCATGTCATATCCACAAATTAAGGGCGCAATAAATTAATTCCATAGAATTGCTAAATTTATTGTGTTGAATTTAAACATTTTTTTTTCATAATCAACTGATTGTTTCCTTCAGAACCTCTGATCTTGTCAAAACTCTTTATAAACAAAAAGAAAGGGCAAAGAATTTAATCAAAAGAATATCTTTAGCATAAAAACTTGAGTTACTTCTAGTTTAATATCAGCATATATTTCTTGACAAAATCTAATGTTTTTTTTATATCTGGTTTTAGAACTGCAGACTCAAAGCTCAACAACTTTACAAGAATTGAGCCAGTTCTGCATCTTCTTGGAATTCCATTTGATACAAATGTTGCTCGTGATGTGATGACCGAGAAACATGGTGTGGCCACACGTCTTATGTATCAGCTCTATGTGGCGCTAAACAACAAGAAAAAGGCCAATCTTACTGGAGTGGCCATGGAAACAATGCGACCAGCTGCCCCAGCTAAACTGAATGCTGTGGAAAGTGGAATCTACAAAGAAGTAAGTTGGTTATGTGGTAGGAGTGGTCTGAAAAAGAAAGTTTGCATTCACTGCCTTTTTCCCCTTTAAACTGAAGGATATTCTAAGAAAAAAAAATTCAATTACCAGGTAATTTGATCTGCTGCAAATATCTCAATACATCTACCACATCAAAAAAAAAGATTCTGAGATATTCAAGAACAAATGTACAAACCTAAGCAACCATGCATGCCCAGAGGGTTCTTATAAGACTTTAGTTTACTTAATATCAGTGTACAGGAGAATCAAACACAGAATTCATTAATTGTTTGCCTTCAGAGACTAAAGCATGCCACTCCAAGGCAGACTGATCTGAATCTGGAGGCCTTGGTGCAAACTTTTCATGAGAAACAGATAGAAATGGAACAAGTGGCCTTTGCTGACAGGTTCCGGGAGCAGGAGAGGATAAAGCAGCAACAACAGGACCAGAGAAGAGCTCTGTTAGCTAGGTCTCAGAGACTGAGGGAAAAACAAAGTGAAATTGTGGCCAAGATACAGTAAGTTTTTTTTTTTCATATAAAATCTTTGAGTTGCTGTGGTGAGAAAACTGTTTTTAATGTGGAAACTTCACTGAAGTAGTATAATGAATTCTGATGCTGTCAATTATTGTTTTAAGATATTCAGTTTTTATTTCTGTAGGTATAATTTTTTTTTTTCAGTTTTGAAATTCTCTTAGCTGAAAATAATTTCTGTGTTTTGCTCATTAATAGATATATGATAATTGAATTCATTTTCAAAGATGTAGTCTCTTTTATTTCTTATATCTCAAACTAAACTCTTGTCGCTGTTCTTTTTCTTTCTTGTAATTGCAAGAAAATGATTTTTTAACACTTTAATCCCCATAACCGCAAAAAAGGCTGTTTTAAGATAGAATCTCATTATATTATTAAAGAACTTATGTTGGTATCTCTTCTGATATGTAATCTGCTTGTAAAAATTTGTATCTTACACACATATTTCTTTACATCTTTTTCCAAAATAAACTCATTAATTGTGATTTTATCTTTGTAATGTAATGCTCGAACAATTAAAATTGCAATGTCTGACTCTTCTATCTATTTTATTTTTGTAGAGAAAGGTAAATCAATACTTGTTGCTTTTAAAGTTTTTATTAGATGTTTCAGCAGGCATGGTGTTACTATTGTCATGCCTTGTTTTTTGATCCACATTTAGAAGTTTGTTGTAGCTTTACAATTATTATATATACAAAGTAAAGCATAGTTTAGCATATTTTTTTCATTCAACAGGATTATAACTTTGATAGTTTTTTTTTTGTTTTTGTTTTAAGGTGAGCAATATTTAACACAAATTTTTATAGACTTATTAGATAATTTAACTCCATTTCAAAAATGAACAAAACCCTATCAATATTACACCCCCCCAAAAAAAAAGTAATTGAGTATAATTAAGGCAGGAAAGTTGCATGTGTCTAGTAGAGAGGCATTTTCTATTATTAGGTTGGTTTCCCAATAGTCTCAGCATTGTTGTTGTTTAATTCATAAAATAAATTCTGTGAGAAATTTTTTTTTTCCATAATACGAACTCTTTGAATTTTTAGATTTATTTTATTTTGACAAGTGAATCTGTACCTGAATTCTTTTATGCTAAAATATGATTACAGAACAATATCTATCAAATTTACTGACTTGTTAAAAAAAGATATAAAAATTCTTTACAGCTGTATAATTTTTAGGATGCGAAAAATTATTTTGCACAGTCATTTTGTTTTTACTGCAAATATATAATCAAATTGTTGCCATGTTAATTTTAAAGAACAATGTTGCTTTAGCAAATCAAGGCAAGGAAGAAAAAAATGCAATGCGTTTTCACCCCAATATATCTGCCAGTTGCCAGAATTATAATTATGCACATTATGCTATGATGATTGACACATGCTTATGAATATTCATTTGGTATTTCATATAGTTTGTCTTCCCATGTTATATTTATATTGTAAATTAACATTTGTAAAAAAAAATTCTATTTACGACAGGAATAATTTAAGCTGGTAGATGCCTCTAAGAATATTGGCTATAATTTCTGAAGCATTTTAAAATACATGTATTAGGAATTTAGCATAAAAAATAATGCACTTTTAATTTTATTCAATATACAAGTTCATTCTAAATCAAGTGTTCATACAATATGTTTCTAGTATACTGATATCATTTATAAATACCACTTTTGTTGTTTGCTGGAGAGGTAAATGGATTTTGTTTATATTTTTTAGGTTGATTAATTCATATGGTTCAGATAGTTAACAAATACAAAATTAATTACTTAGTTCAACATTTTACAAAATTTGAAAAAAAAAGAAAAAAAAAACTGGTGATTCATTGTTATTGGTTATCATAACCTGGTATTGATTCATTTTCCTACTTCGGTTTCTACAGAATTAAGTTTTTGTCATGGATTTATTTTTAAATAAATAACTAATGAATTAGAAAGAATATATAATAACTTTGCACATATCCTTAGGGGAGTAGATTCACAAATTTAACATAAATCATGTGGGTAGAATAACTACTGATTTAACAAGAGACATACAGCTATGATCGATGAAGGCATACATTGTAAATATGAAATGATTTCACATAATTATAATTAATTTCTTAATTCAATAAGATGATTACCCTGCATGACATCTCTTTAATTAAGGCCACTAACTAGTAAGACACATGTAATCATAAATTATATATATAACATTGCATTCATGAATTAAGTTAACCTGAGCAAGAGCATGCTTCAAAATTTCAGTCAATAATCAATATAATATATTATTATGATTAATTAGTAAGCAGTGTTTTGACTGATATTTAATTTTTTAATGACAGAGCTGCCACTGTCAACATACCCAAACCCCCACCAGAGCAGACAGCTAAAGCCATCCAAAGGAGGAGAGAACTGAGGAGACGAAGGGAGGCAACTGTACGTTACATTTTGAATAAAAGTCTGTGTGCAATTAAATAACCACTTTAAGCAATTTTTGAAATTTATTTTGGAAATTTTAAGTTCAGTGTAAATTAAGATATAATAAGCTTGATGTATTTTTGATATTGTTTTTATTTGTACACATTAATTTTTGTTGCAGGAAACAGTAGAAGCTATTTCTCAGTTTGAAGACAAGATGAAGATGATTTTACCGCCATCTAAAGATGATGAGGGGTAGGGACATTAAGCTTATAGTTATAGTCCTTGTTAATTGACAATCTTATAACACATTGTATATCAGGACACAATTTTAATCAAAGTCTTGTAGTCATTGTGGAGACATATCCACAGTAATCTAATAGATTGGTTACTACTTGCATATAGATTTACCAAAAACTGTCAATATAATTTCATGAAAGCTTGGAAAGTAAGACAGAAATATATTATTAAATTGTAAGAAGAAACAAATTATGATGTGTATAAATGTGTAAAAAATGATTTTAAAAAAATAAAAAAAAATCATTTGAAGGGAGGTGATAGATGTGCAGTACATTTTGACGAGAGATGAGGATCGTCTGCTGGATGCCATCGAGCTGATTAAGCCGGCCTCTAATGACGACTACATCGGGAAGATCAGAAAGAGGCTGCAGGAAGATGAATCCGCACGAGCGGAGCGTGAGAAGAGGAGGAGGAAAGTTCTGGTGGATCAGATGAAGGCTCACGAAGCTCAGGAGGTAAGACAATGAAGAACATAAGAAAAATACAGATACAACAGGCATGTTACTTAAACTAGGCAGTTTTAGTAAGTTACTGAATATTATGACATGCAAAAGTTTTTTTTTTCATTTTTGACCTGCAAATGTTAAGATACTAAAGAAATTGTATGGAGTAAACTTTTTGCATATCAAAATTCATGGATACTGCTATCTTTTAGTTAATTTTTTTTCAGTAAGTTGATCTTCAATATGTTGAATTATCAAGTAATATCTTTTTAAATTCATTTAAAAAGTCCAAACAAATTACTTTTAATTACATATTTGCTGTATGTTTTGTAGGAGGCAAGACGAGAGGAGATGTTGGTAAATCGTTTGATGAGACAATCCCAGCAGGAGAGAAGGATAGCAGTCCAGCTGCTGCAGGCACGGCACGAGAAGGAGGTGATCAGGAAGAACAGGATCATCAGGGAGAAACAGTACGAAGACCGACGACTCAAGGACTTCGTGGATGCTCTCAACAGAGAAGCTGTAAGTTCACCACAGAGTATCAATCTATTTCAATTTTCTTAAGGTAAAGATCCATACCACGTAAAATAACGTTATGTGACGTTATTCTCGTTTGTGACGTTATTACCTCAAACGCGCCCGACGCTTATTCTATCAAAAATGCCTGACGTCGATTTCACTTACCGTAAAAAAAGGTACATTAATTTCCAAATAAAAGGCATAAATATACGATGTTCAGTTATTTTCCGGGATGCATGATCGAAGGAGAGTTTAAATTTAGATGATTCGTCAAACCGAAAGTACAATAAAGATGGCATGGAAGGAAGATTCATTGTCTCGAGTACAAGATAACTAAAAGACTTCGACAATCGGGTCGTTTTTTGTCTCTGTAAGTTGAAGAAATACAGAGTAACAAATAAATGGTTCTCTTGTCAAAAGTCATTATCGTTTGCTTACATGTTTGTACATAGGCCTAGTACATAACCAATTTCGAATCACGTACGGCTCAAGTATTCAGGTACCTAACTACTTTGCTTCAATATTCCAATTTTTAAAAGTCTTTTTCTCTTCTCGATTGTTTGAATTAAAATATCGTCCTCTGGGGATTGACTCGGGATTTTGAAAAAAATTTTGGAAAACTTTTTTTTACAATGTATATATCATACATAAAACAGTTACTGCACAAATATAAATGTTCTGTTATTTTGTATATCCTTGCACTGAAACATAAAATAATTATTCATAAAAAACAAACAAACAGAATATTTCATTTAAGTAGGAAAGGACATTGATACATTGCCAAAAAAAAATTCCTTAATACACACATATGCTGAAAATTTAGAAAAATTTGTTTTAAAGCTAGTGCACAATAACCTTTAGCTACGATTTGTAGTGCTTTGGGTAGTGTATTGGTGCACCTGTCATAAGACTGACAGGTGTCCTGGGTTCGATTCTCTGGAAGTTGAAAAAATACAGAGTAACAAATAAATGGTTCTCTTGTCAAAAGTCATTATCGTTTGCTTACCGGGCATATGCTTGTACGTAGTTACATAACCATTTTCGAACCTTTTGGGCCTCTTGTTATAATATGTTTGCTAAAGCCAATTTCCAAATTGATGATAAAATTACATATTTGTCATCTACGGTATATACAATATGTATAATAAATTAGAAAAACATATGTCGAACAGACCCAAGGGTCTATATCGGATGGGGAAGGGGATATTTCTGTCTTCAAGCACCCATGAATAGTATAGCGATAGATATCAGTAGCTAATAAGATGATGTGGATCCGCAGTGTACTTTTCTAGATCACAATTTTATGCATTACCATGATTACTGTAATGATGGTTAGACTTAAACCCACAAATAGCAATATGACAGTAACAAAGATGGGAACACATGTATAAGATGATAAATAGGAATGCCTATGAGATCATAGAGGGTGATATAAAAAGGAATAAGGAAAAGGATAAAATTTCAATCAGACAATTCACAAAATCAACTCTGTTTGTTAAGCCGAGTGCTTACAATGTTATAATCATATAATCAGGTTGTTCGTGCATGGTTTAATCATGCATTAATCATTAAAAACAAAGATAACTAGTTTCAATTTAGATTTTATGGATTTATGTCAAGATTGTTGCTTTTTATTTGAATGAAAAATTATTAATACTGTCTCATAAAAGTTATGACATTGTTTTGTTTTTCAAAAACAAATCAATTTTTCAACAGAATTTATTGCATAATTAACTTGACCCTTTGATCACCAAATCAATAAGGGTCTCTCTCGAGCCACAGAGAGTTGCTGTGTAAAATTTCAATGCAAAAGCTCAAAGGCTTCTTGAAAGTGTTACAGACAGACAGAAAGACACATGGACAGATGCACAGACCTAAATTTAGTATCCCCACTTTCAGTGAAAGGGGAGACAATTATATCAGGGTTTTTTTTTTGTTGATGTTAAACTTGGTTTATCAAGATACTTGTAAAAAAAAAAAAGCATAACTTTCTCAGTGATTATTCAGTTCTTTCTTTTCCTACATAAATAGTTTTTGATATCATATTGAGCTTTATAATATATACACCTACACATTTATCTATTTTAACATCAATATGCACTAAGCAACACAGTTCCAAAAAGCCAGATAATGTATAGGACCAGCATGCAAATCTCATAGCAAACCATTTTCCCCCAAATGAATGAAGAGTCCTCCCGAAACTTATGAGTTAGGACTTTGTGCTGTGTCATGTAGCATGATAAAAAGCTGAAGAAGAAATAAATCTTCTTTTTTTTATTTCATTATTAGCATACAATTTTAGAGAAGTATAATTGAACTGCCTAAACTCCAGTACAAGTCAAATTGAACCATCTTGGATGTCCTGATTAAATGTTTTTATTTTAGGCACAGAGCAACAGAAAGAGTTTTGTTTTTTTTAACTAGACCATGTTCATAATGCATGTATCATTTCTCAGGTACTTTTAATATACAAGTATACATACAAATTAAATATTCAGTACTTATAATGATGTTCATCAGCTCAGACAATTACAGGTTCGAGAATCTGTGTCAAAACTCATGGAACAAATGCTCATTGGATCCATATCAAAATATCACTTTAACATAGAACATTCTATTTACTCAGGGAGTTGTTGACTTTTAAAGCATCATACCAATTTTGCATAGATCGGTTTTTCCAAGGAGAGGTCCTGCCGTCCAAGGTCACTTTTAGTACAATTCACTGTTATCTAAATGGACGTTCAGTAAGGCGGGATATTCTTGATGTTATATAATTAGCCTCTAAAATTTACACAGCTTTCAATCATTGTTGAAATATATGTGGCCAGGATAGAAATTCAGGACATATAAGAAAGAAAGATTACCTGTAAGTTGTCTAATGATTGTCAACAATGATTAAAAGTACCTGATGCTATTACTTTTTTAACCAATGAAAATCTATTTGCCATTTGAAAGACACTAGTGCCGAGAATACTACAGCTTACTAAAAGTCCAAGGATGGCAGAGAATAATTGTTTTCTTTTTGATACCACACACACTCACCACTAGAGTGTTTTTCATGCATGAGTAGACACAATGACAAAAACTCCGAACTCGACTTTCAATTTTAAATTTTTAAAGAATTTTTTTTGAATTTTCATTACATAAAATACCTTGATCAAGGTATTTTAAATATCTTGATAAAGCTATACCTTTATCGGGGTATTGTGCTGGACCTGTTATGTACGGAAAACCTCGATCATTCAGTGTCCCTAGCTTAAGAAGGGGGTCTCTGCCTTCCAAGGATATGATCGCCTATAAGCACGGTGTTTATATTGTTTAAACAAACAAACATTACAAAGTGGAAACACTGAACACATTCATCACTGCGTACATTAATTTTATCTATTTGTATATGGTATATGGATAAAAACATGATAAACAACGTTGCACCTTACTTAGACAGACCCGAAGCATTTCCTGAGATCAGAAACCAGACGTTAAAAAGATGTGGCAAACAAACCACTTATTTGTATCTATGAATAGCGAAAAATGTATTACATAGACACAAAAAGTAGTAAAACGTGCCACTTCTCTAAATTTTTAATCAAATAAATCGCATCCAAACGACCAATGTAGAAACTGAAAGTATTGTCTTCTTTCACTTCCGTCATAACGTCACACATGCGCATGAACGGTTTATAGAATATTCAGAAGATTGAACCCGATTACTATTATGCTTGTGAATCGTGAAAACGAATTTTTGGCCGTCTATGCATTAAATATTCAACTTATGATTTAAACCATACTTATTACTGTTGTATTATTGATAGTATTAAATATTTCAAGCGATTTTTACACCCAAATCCTAAAAGTATAGATGTTAAAAAGATTTTTCAAATTATCATTTTTCAGCAAATTTGGTATAAAAATGTGAAATTTTCTTGTTTGATGCCCGCTGCCCCACTTAATTTTTATGCCATATAAGGGAGAGAACATTGGAAAATAACATGTTAATTTTAAAAAGAAATCTGTAGTTAGAATATGAAGCAGCAATTTATTTTTACCAGAAATGAACTTTTTAATTTTGAGCTAAATATGTTGAATTCGCCCTAAAAAGTACAATTAAATGGATCAGCAGATGTAAAGATTTATTAAATCGTTAAACAAGCATATCCTCTCTACAATTCATATGTTAAATATTTTTATTTGCCTTTAATTTTATAAAGCTAGCATATATTACTCAATTCCTTCATTTTTGTAATTTCTCGAGACAATGTCTATTTTTAGTAACAATCCTGACAAAAGGAGGCCCGGTTGACCTAAAAATTTACGCAGATATGAAAAGGACAAATACTTAATTCAAATTCTGAGAAGTTTAAACAAAATCTGTAGCTTCGTTATTCTTGTAGCATGGTATGGATCTTTACCTTAAGTTTATATTGGGAATACTAGATAGGATGGATAGGCAAATTGTCTGAAGACTTTTATTGTCATTTTGTATGGGATTGAGGGGTGGTTAGTTTGTATAACACTCTGAAATTTCGAAATGCAGTGATTATCTTATAGCCTCTATAAATAATGAAAAATATCTTTTATTTTAACACAGGAAATGGCCCGCTTGGCCAAACTTGAGTACGAGGAACAGACCAAGAAGGACCAGGAACTCCATGATAAGATAGCAGCGGAGCGCGCGGAGGCCCGATACACCAAACATTATGAGAGCTGTAACGAGGTTGTCAATCAGCTGGTCGATTTCGCTTGTAAAGTGGCCGAATATAGAGAACTGACTGAAAAGTAAGTATTTTATTCTATGGTTTATTGTGCCAGCAATATGCTTTTTTCTCACCTGTTATAAATTCTGCTTTGAATTCTAGATACAGTTAAAACTCCTATCTTGAACACTAATATCTTAAATACCAGGGGTATGTCACAGATGTACGGGTACCTTAAATGGTTCAAAATACAATTCTTAACTTTTAATCAATTATACCTCACAATATCTTTTCTGCTTTCAGATTAGTTCCAGCTAAGTTAATGAGAGATTGGAAGTCATTGTTTGTCTCTGGCAAGCCTTTGTATGAACAAGCCCCACCCCCCGAGTCGACTGAACCCTCCCCAGAGCAGATACTGGAGGAGGAGAGACAGGCCCTGCTGGATGAAGGTGACTTCACTGAGTATAAGGTAAAATAATGTCATTGATTTCTCTGACTTCTGAGTGTTTGATTTTTGCAAGAATATCTGTTATCCATCAGTTGGTTAATCATGGTAGCATAATCGATAGATATAATAAAGATTAATATTATATATGAAACTTGAATTAAAACATGTATTCATAATTGAAGGCTTAGACAAATTTCCTCTTTTGGTCTTTATTTTTTTTTTAATTTCAAACATCACTTGAGCTTTCTTCCTTAATAAAATCTTTTAAATTCTAAATTGCCCCCCCCCCTTGTTTTAAACAAAAAATGTGCTTGAAAACAAAATCTAAATCTAATCTATATTTGTTTTTTGAAATTAATATGAAAATTACTCTGCTGCCATTTGAAACCATTTATATTTTGAATTTAGACTATGACAGGAGAGTGGCAGCCACCAGAAGCAGGGGAGGTAATCCAGCCTCCAAAGGACAACCCAATCACAGGGCACGTCATACAGCGACTCTTCAATATGGTGTCTCCCCCAACTGTAAGTATGTCACTGTAAAGTACTCAACGCTAAATATTTGTAATCCTTATGAAGTGGATATATCAGTACCACGTAATTACAATTTCATATCCATCACTTTCTAAACAAATGGCTTATGTTGTCAAATTATCCAGCAGCTATTACTGCAGACAAAATAGTTACATGTACTGTTGAGGAGGACAATTAACTTGCTATTGTCCAAATGGATAGTACATGGTTTTTTTTTCTGAAGCAAACTTTACTTTTGTCACATCCCAATCACGATATAATTTTTTTCTGTTAAAGCCACCCCCACCACCTCCCGAGTTTCCTCCCTTCCCCATTCGAGCCTGTGTTCTGGGGAAAGTATTCAGTGGAAAATCTTCTATTGTGCAACAACTGGCTAAGGGTAAGATTATGTTAAATAAATGAAAAAAAGACTAATTAAGTTTGAATTTAAGATAGTACATGTACCTTAATTTCAAAGAAAATCTTTAAAATGTACTCACTAATTTCTGATGTACCATTAATTTGTAGAACACAGACTTCAGGTCCTCGATGTAGATACATTAGTCAGTGAGGCTGTACAAGCTCATGAGAATGGAGAAACAATGGCAGTACAGGTAAGGAGAAGTTAATTAAATAGATGATTTTACTTTTTAACACTTAAATAATTTTTAATGAATTTTTCTCATGTAAATTTGATTTTTGAAGGACAAGAAAAAATCTAACAAAGTAAAAAAGGTATTTTCCAAAATCTATCTCGTATATGTATAAGAAAAAGCTTTCATATATCACTGCAGTAAAAGTTTTTTTTCCGTGCATGCACCAATCAAAAATTTCATGTAAGCACTTAATTTAATACATGTATACTGTACATCATATTTTAAGGGTAGTTGCTAGATCATATCAATTGAACTACATGCATGTAAATTCATACAAAATACACATATACGGTATTTATATTGTTAGGCCTGCATGCTATCTCCTGATTCTATACAACTTCTTTGAATTACAGTGGCAAGCACAAGAATGCTGTGTTAAAGTGGAAATATTTTAAAATTTGTCTGACTTTTTTAAAAGGATTACTGTATACAGGCAAAATTTTAGCCCCATTTTAGTTTCATTCCTTTAAAATGGGGGTGAATTTAAAGAGTACAGTATATTTTCTGAAACAAAATTGAGACTGGGCGAATTTATAAAATGGTGCAAAATTGTTTGCAAGTCTGAAATTGAAAAAATAAAGCAATGTGAAAATATCCCTGCATGTATACAGTATTTTAAAATGAATTGTAAAGTTCGATAAATTCATTTTCATTTTTTTATGTGTATATCTGGTATGTAATTGTGCATCCCTTGAAATTACACTGTATATGAAAACTATTTTGCTTTGGAATATAAAATGAAGTGTGCATGTTACACATTGATTCTCTTAAAATTTAGTCATTACAAATACATTAATTCAACTGTCCTGTAGGCTGAAAAAATATTTATACCCACCTTAAATGAATCAAAAATGTACCACTATTTCAAAAGTTCCTTATTCCCAAACTTTTTAAAAAATCTAAAAATAATACAGATAAATTTTTGAAATTTGCAGGAACCAGAAGTAGAGGAGAAAGCACCAGAGACTTCGGACCAAACCCCACAGCCCCAAGGTAAACCTAGTCTTAACAGTCCTACAGCACTTAACACTGACTGCCATTAAGTGTCCCGTTTTGATCTGAATACTAACAAACATACGTATATATATATACATGTACTCTATTCATAGGCAAAAGAGGAGTTTTTGAAAGCCTTTGATCCTGAGAATATGAACTTATAGATCTATTTTTAGTCCTTAACATGTCCTTTCACACATAATTTTTACTGATAATTACATCCCTGCAGATAAATACCTATGGAGTTTTTCCTAACACTGATTTACTTTGTGCACACTCAGTTTAAGGAATTTATTCACATATTCACTTTATAAGATTTTGCTAAAAGTATATTCAACATAAACAGCTTTTTTTTTTTTAAATAGAATTTTCAGAAATATTGCATTAAGAGTTATTATGTCTATAACAGTACTGAATGATAAAAAACTATCCTAATAATGTTAAACATTAGCACACGTGACTAAAAAAATACCTAAAGTTGAAATGATTTTAAAATCAGCCCCACCCCTTCCTTTTTTCCTACAAAATGATACAAAAAGAACAAAAATTGAAAATCATAGAAAAATAATCTCATTTTTACTGTAATTTTGTAAATATCAGTTGTAACATTTCAGATTTAAAATTTCTGATCTAATTTTATGCTACAGCATTTTTTGAATGAATAAAGATGAACATGAAGACTAACGTTTGAAGGCTTATTTTCTCTAGGAATTACAATAAATATACGAGCCCCCACGGGGGAGGGTTCAGTCACTCTACCAGGTATCAGTAGATGTCTATTTCAGCCTGTGTGACGTTTTCTCTCTTTTCCCTCTGCTACTTTCTGTATATTTTCATGTTTTGCAGTAGTTGACTGCACCTTTGTAATCAATCTCCTTATATGGTGATTTCTCAGTACTTTTTAAGGTATTATATAAATATTTTTATACATATTATAGATATAATTACATATGCTTTTTGTAGATGTTAATTAATCATTATTTTTTTAAATGTATATGTATCATATTGTTTACATTAAATAGAAATTGGTTATGGTGTTTCGGTTACTTTATTGGTCAGGGTTTAATTTTAGGACATTTTTTGGTATATGAATTTATGCAAATAAATATCTTTCAGTTAATATCCAATATCATACAAGTTAATTAATCCTAGCTAACACATTGTATCCTGACTAGTATGCCAAATAATACTGAACAGGTTCTTTCCATGATATTTTTTTAAATGAATTAATTGCTCATTATCAGATAGATAAGGAATTGGTGAAGAAAAAAATATAACCCAGGAGATATCTTTTTTTTTTTTTTGCATGAGTAATTTTGATTAAATGTTTTCCCAACAATGTATGAAGAACTAATGCCATTTATGAATTCTGATTTAAAATGGAACATCTGCATTAACATATTTGTTGATTTTTAATGTTTTTTCTAAATTCTTGTAACATAATCTACATACCCCAGTGTAAAAAGAACTCATTTTTTTAACCCATAATTTGCCCTGGTTTAAAAAGTAAAAACTCATTTTAACCCCCCTCTCCAAAAAATGTTCTCAATCTTTTTGCATGTTGCTTCTGGTTGGCCAAGAATGTGGTTTATATTATTAAATGTATATGAACTTCAGTCTGCTAGAGATTATACAGTGCTTCAGATGCAGGATTTTGTATTTTAGACAAAATTGAAGAATTTGTAACCATATTATAATCTATCATAAATCATATGTTTATAGATTTTGATTTTAACAAAATGAGTTATAAACAGTTGATAATTTGACAAATCAGAGGATTCGATGACCATGAGATGTAAAGATGGAAACTTAAATTAGGAAGAATTTTTCTTTATATTTTCATGGTATCAACATTCATGAACAAGATATTGATTCAATGTTAAAAAAAATATGCTATGAATTATAGAAAAGATAAAAAAGCACACACATTTTCTGATCAAATAATATAAACTTTTGTAGAGACCCAACCTGAGGTGGCCCCCACACCGTCTGATAACCCGACAGAGGAGGCACCAAAGACGGAATCTGATCAGACGGCACCCCCAGCCACAGAGGCCCCACCCCCTGAGCCCACCCCTCCCAGTCCCGTCAAACGTACAAAGTCTAAAGGACCCAAAGACAAGAAACAAGTGGTATGTATATCTGAGATGAAAATTACACTCATTATGACCATAAAGTAAATAAAAGCTGGGGTGTATTTTTCCTTTAAAAAGGATTCCTTATTCCTTAAAGAATACATTTTTTTAATTTGCATTAATTTTAAACACAGCTTTGAGGGGAATATAAATAAAAATGTGACACACTGGGCCCCACATTAATTGGAGACTTGAAAGATATTCATGGGGAATTCTGAAATAATTTCAGGCCAATATTTTCTTATGAATGGAGTAATATTTTACAGTGAAATAAATCTAATGAAAATATTAAAGTAAAACAAACAACTAAATCAAGTTATAAATATAAAGTTTTGACTTCTTTATTCTTGTATCAGCCCGGTGAACCAGAGGTATATAATTTTAATTATGACCAACAATTATACAAACCATGTATTACCTTAACTGCCCAGACATTTACAAGTCTATCATACTCACATTTTAATAATGCATGTTTTATGAAATCATAATAAAAGAGATGAAATTCACACACATTTGAGGTCCAAAGTGGCCAATTGTGCACATTGTATATCTTATTGTTTGAAATATTTGATTAATGATCACTACCAACAATATACCTGATTTATGTACAGTGAAAAATACATTGTCTTTATACAACTATGTTATCAGTTTCACTGTGAATTCCAACCTTTATTTTCATTCCTATTTTACCATTTTATTACTTTCTATGTTGTTTACAATGTAATCTGACACCCTGTCTATTCTGACACAAAATTTGTCTCCCAGTGGATGTCAGATTAGACAGGTTTCACTGTTGTTACAGAACCTTCATTTCCTGCATTTATTTTAGTTACAAATAACCCCATTTCAAATACACTACTGTATAGCATTTTAATCACTCTTTGTTAAAGTTCTTTAAAAAAAAAACTACTATATGATTAACATGCATGTAAAATTTACTTTGAATATTTCTTTCTTTATCTCATTCCAAATGAAAAAAATATCTTTATTTTGTTAATTTTTCTGATATTGCCCATTTCTAACTAATATTGATATGATTAATACTCTAGCTAACATATAACTTATGGTTTGGTTAAATACACAATGAATATTAAGCCTTTTTTAACAGACTCTCTTTATGTAACTGGGTTTATACTTGATATTTCAGCCAACCCCTAAAGCCAAGCTTGGAGCCAAGGCCCTGAAATACTTAAAGAAAGGACAGCCTGTGGATGACCAAGTGATTGTAGACATCCTCATAGAAACCATCAGGTAAAGGTTAGAGGCTTCAAGGCAGTAATGATCAGAAATCTTATTTACCCCCCCCCCCCCCCCCCAAAAAAAAAAAAAACACATATAGTCAAACCTCATTATCTCCAAATTGAGGGGATCTAGAAAAAAACTTTTGGGGTTGGCTATTGAATTTTCCAACAATGTTTTATTCTGACACATTAGTCAAAATTTGAATGAGCTACAAAATATGTTCCTCTCTTTCAACCACAACCAGAGTGGGTCAGAGGGGTCATGATTTGCTGATGGTTAGTAATTCAGTTAAAACTTCTCTATCCGTAAATAATATTGAGATATCTATTATTTTGACAGTCGCATTGAGTTCAAAATGCTAGGAATGAATTGTTTTCTGACTTTTTAAACTTGTCTGAAAAAAACTCAAATGATATACATATCAGGATGTTTTCAATGAATCAGGATCTTTTTAATGAATAAATTTAATATAAAACTGGATTTTATGCTTCAAACATTGTCTAAGAAAAATGTCAGTGACCTTGACTCTATTTTAAGATGGATCCCTGAGGAGACTGGATGGATCATAGATGGATTTCCTACAAACTTGTACCAGGCTAAGGTTCTAGAGAAAGCACTGACTGGATTTGCAGCTGGTGATAAAAAGGACGATAAAACTGGAAAAATGAAGAGGTCTAACCTGGTCAAGGACCCCCGCCCACCCCCTCCCCCCGCGGAGCCTGCCAGTGGTCTGGATGTGGTGGTCAGCTTTGATGTCCCTGATGAGTTGTGTCTGAAGAGAGCAGCAGGTCGATTGTGTAAGTATTGCCTTCGGTGCATCCATCCATGAATGATGAAGCATTTACTATGTACATGTATACACTGTTAACATATTACATTTGGCCATGTATTTTGCTTAAAAACATGTATATAATGATTATATATATATATAAATGTCTTGCAAATATATACATAATTTAGAACATTAAAGATTGTGCTAAATCAAATATACACTAATTTGTTAAAGTTTTTCTTTCATTATTTTTATATATATATATATATATATATATATATATATATATATATATATATATATATATATATTGCCACTCTTTTGCTTTGCTACAAGTATTTGAGCAGAATGCACACTTTGAACAATCTGATATAAGTGATATTTTTTTATCTCCTTAGATGGCGTACAAGCCAATGAACAATACCACCAGGAATTCAATCCGCCACCAGAGGGCAGCATGACAGGTGTAGGCAAACAGGAGCTAGTGGTTCCTGTTCAGGATAAGTCACATGACCAGGATCAAATCCAGCAGAGGTGTGTGTCTTACACTGTTGTTTAAAGAGACTTCATCAATGCATTGACTTTAATTATGAAGATGTGTAACATTTTCTCATAATTTTGTTTTTTTTTTTTCAGGATAACCAAATACTTGGACTCGTGGCCCAAGGTTGAGAAGTGGTACAATAAGTTTGGGGTGCTGGCTCATGTGGATGCCTCTGCAGAAATGCGTACTGTGTATCTAGAAGTGGAGAAGGTTCTAGAGGATACACTAGCCAAGGTAGAAACTGAGACTGAAAAATTTCTGACACAATGAGCCAGACAAGAGTTGTCACTTTCTGTTCTGTAAAGTAAACTAAATGTTAGAAGGAGAGTTAGATTTTGATTAGAATGTGAAAATTCAATTACCAACCATTTTAGACCAAATCCTTTAAAATAATTTGTGCCTTATTCAGCAGCAGTTCTGATCTTTTGTTTCAGCTACAAGGAATCGGTCAGGAACCAGAGCCTGCCCCTTTAGAGCCCGTGGAGGAAAAGAAAGAAGAGGTAGGAGTTAACTCCCCTAGATAGGGCATAATAACAAAGAAATTTTAAAGGAAGATGACAATTTTCTTTTGTTCTTGTGCAGAAGATGATTATTTTTGTCCTAAACTAAAAAATCTTGAAAAGAGTGAAAAGAAGACATCAAATGTAAAGATAAAATTTACTTGCATGTTTATCCTCCATCACCCTTGTAAGAGGGTAGATATGAAAGAGTATATTTAATTTACCTGGAAAATTGCTTTTTAAACAGCCACCAGCACCACCTCCAGAACCACCAAAAGAGGAGCCACCAGTGGAGGAGAAAACTTCTAGGTCTTCATCCAGAAAAGGTATCATTTTAAAAGCAAAATACCGGTACATAAAATAATTCATGATAAATAATTTGTGGTGAAGTAAACAAAAGTATTTGAATTGATCAAATACAAATTTCAGAAGCAAAAATTGAAATATGGGTATATATTTTTCTGTTACTTCTGGACTAATCTGTAATTTTTTTATTGCAGGCTCAGGGAAGAAATCTCGACCATCCTCTTCTAGGAGTAAATCCCCTAAGTCACCCAAAGACAAGGATAAGAAGGGGAGGGACAAGAGCTCCTCCCCAAAACGTTCTGCCAGCAGTAAAAAGTCTGAGGCAGGCAGCAAGAAAGGCAGCAGGGGTAAGGGTATTTCTACAAGGTCATTACACCATTCGATTGAAAAATGAATATCTGGCAAAAATTTTATGTATAAGTCAACACCCATAAAATTCACATTTTTGTGTGCTTGTGGTAAACTGTATGAGTAGACACAGAAAATATGCTTTAGCAATGTGTTTTGTGTGATAGGTTCATCACCAAAGTCCAAGAAAGGCTCTGGTAAGAAGGGTAAGACTCCTGAACCTGAACCAGAGCCAGAACCTCAGGAACCCACAGGACCTCCTCCACCAGAACCAGGATCTGAGGAGTGGGAGTTTGTGGACTTACCTCTTGAAAAGGTAGGTACCTCCATTGAATGTACATTTTTAAAGGGGTTTTGCTTTACAAAGTGTTACAAACATTACTTTTAAGTCTGATTTGGGAGGGAAGATACATGTATACACTACTCACTATACACTCTTCATGCTGTGTATATAGAAGTTTAACATGCATTTGGTTTCAACAGGAATTGGCTGAAGTTTTGGCAAAATATTGGGAGAACGTGGAGAAAACATACGTTGGGAATAGTAAATATGTGTTCCGTAAGCTGAGAGAGGAAAGAGAAAACATTTACAGATATTTCTATCAGATCAAGTAAGTCTTGAAAGTTGATTTTGATTTTTTTCTGGTCATGGAATTATTGGAATTATACACTATACATGTATGATTTTAAGAGTAGAAATATGCAATTAATTTCATGTATGGATCACTCTAGAATTAGTTCTTGTCTGTTACTTTCTCAAAAATTTTTTTTGCTGAATTTAACCTTGCTTGACTGACTGTATTGTAGGAAGGACTACCTGTCGTATTTACGGAGACCAGACAACAAACAGGTGTATGTCAACCAATGGCAGAAGGTCAGTCCAATTTGTCAGCTTTATCATGTTTAAAATGCAAAGATTGCACCAAAAATATGCATCTCACTTGAATAATTAAGTTCAAATGGAGTATACATGTATCACACATGATCCAGATTTTCAAAATTTTCACAAAAATGCATATTGGTACATTTATCTGAAATAAAAACATTTCATGATTTTCTTGGTCTTCAATAGGAATATAATGATGTCCCTGATGACATGCGTGAAGACGAAGAAACGAAAGCAGAACTCCACCAGCGGGTAGATGACCTCAGGGTCAAACTGTGGGACATCTGTGACGAAAGGAAGGCCCAGGCAGAGAAGGAAAGACAAGCCATCATAGACGATGGCTGGCTGGACGATCACCTAGGCCTGCTCAGTAACTTCTACCTGACACAGATGCAGGCAGAGGTGGACCGATACCAGGACACTGTCAGAATGTTGAAGGACTACTATAAAGGCATGGATGGACATTATCCAGAGGAACTCAATGCCAACTTTGCTAGGCTTCCTCTCATCGAGGTAATTTGGATTTCATTGCTATTTTAAAAATATTTTTCAGATAAAAGGGAAATCGAGTGACAGTTTTACTAAGATTAGAAGTTTTACTTAGGTAATTGGAATGTCTGTTAAAAAAATGTTTAAAAGGTCTTAAAAAGGGTCTTCTGAAAATAGTGAGCTTAATACACAATTGTAGAGAGGAATAATAAATAATTTATTCAAAATGGTAATATGACATAGAATTCTGATGACATATAAGAACTTTTTTTTTGTTTTTAAAGCTTCCTGTGGAGAGAGCTGAATCCCCTGATAAATCAGAGAGTGAGACGGCCTCCAACCCACCCCCAGCAGAGGAGAGAAGGGACAGCGCCAAATCTGACCGCCCCAAGTCTAGCCGCTCCAAATCTGGCCGCTCTAAATCCCCCAAGTCCCCCAAGGAGAGGAAGTCTAGAACCCCCTCAGCCAAGAAGAGAGACAAGAGCAAGGAAAAGAAAGAGTCGACAGAGCAGGTTCCCACAGACGAAACAGGCAAAAAGAAGTAAGGGCTAAAAGATAAAAAAAAGATAGGACTCTTTTTGGTATTATATAACCAAACAAGAATCTTTTTCTGCAAGATAAAAATTACACTTTTCTAAATTTGTACAATGCTTTTGTGCATTATCTAACCAGAGAAAAATAACATTCAACCAGCAAAAAGAAAATTATATGCTAAATTTCTCATGGACAAAAGGAAATATTTCCCTTACATCCCCCAGGAAGAAAAAGATTTTCTCTCTTTTTCCCTTGGGAAAAAGATTTTAATTAAGAAAACAATTTTTTCCAGAATCCCCTTGGTGCCTCGGAGACCTGTATCCCCTGATCCGGATTCCAAGGCAGCAGGAGCTGGTAAGGACAAGAAGGATAAGAAGCCAGGAAAGAAGGATGATGGGGGAACAGAGAGCCCCGCCCCTCCCATGGATCCGGACGAGAAACTTCTGTTTGACGGCTACCAATCAGGAGTCAATGCTCTGGCCACTATTGTAAGTTTTAAATTTCATTAGATTTATTTTTTTGAATTAATTTTTTTTGTTTACTGAAATTGGATAAATATTTAACATTCCTTTAAACCAGAATTTAGAGAGTAACAAAAAAACTATGTATCAGTAAATTTTTTACATGCATTTGCTTGTTAAATGCCAGGCTTTATATTTGAAATCTGAATTTAACCTATTTTTAGCTACAAAGTGAATTTGCTGCTAAAGAAGCTGAGGAAGAAGCAGAGAGAAAGAGAGAAGAAGAAATGGAAAGAGAGAAGGCAGCAGCTGCTCAGAAGGCAGCTGCAGGAAACAAAAAGGGGGGCAAGAAGGGCAAGAGTAGGAGCCCCTCCCCCAAAAAGAAGAAGGACGACTCTGCATCTACCCCCACTCCACGTTAGTATTGAATTGTCTGCACCTTGATGACCTGGAGTCATTAATTTGACCACAAATCTACTTGCCTATAATGTTGCAAAAGTTTTTTTAGTCCGGATTGTCATTTTTTCCTTCAAAATTTACATAAAATTGTGAAATGTTTTAATTTATTATAGTACACTGTACTTTGGCTTTCTTTCTACCTGCTGGATGTGTAGTACTGTAGCAGCAGAAATTCAGAAGAATGTAGTCTGGAATGATTTGTTTTGTCTACAACTGTATTTTTACTCTGTTAAATATGTCCATTTCATCCTTAGCTTCATCTGAAGAGATGAGTGAAGAAGAAAGATTGAAGAAGAAACAGAAAGAAAGGATGAGAGAGGAGTACTACTTTGCCATTCAGGGTGAAGGTATGTGTCGCAATGTTCTTTAACAAAGCATGCATTATTTTGTAATTAAAGTGGATACTAGTGGCTAAAAACTTCATTTATTGACATGAAATGTTTAGAAGAATGATGTTGAATGTGCCTTTAAGATATTGAAGATTTTGTGCATGGTCTCTGATGTTATCTTTTTTGGTAAAAAAAATATTCCTGATTTTAAAATTCTTTCACACCTTCACAGAGACTGCCGCTAAGAAAAGACTGGAATTGATTAAGGTTCATGGTATCGGAGTGTTACAAGATCTGAAGGCCAAGGCTGACAACACATATAAAGAAATGAATGATTGGCTGGGAGCTAGGTTCCTAAAGGAAATGGAAAGGTAAGCAATACAGTTTAACCTCAATATCTCAGACACCAATATCATGAATACCATGGACATGTCAAAGTGATTCGGAAGGTCCAATCAATTTCTCTATAAGTGTTTTACCCTCACTAATCTTGAATCTTTTGATATCCTAAAGTTTTTGTCCCTGTTCCATCAAGTTTGACTGTATATGGTGAAATTGGTATTCACGGTTTTAAATTTTTTACCATCTACAACCAGTTCAGTTAAATTAAGTTTTTTTTTTCCTAGAATAAAACATCAAAACTATCATCATTTATTTATTTTTTCTCCAGCATTGATCACATGTCAGAAACCATCCGCTTTGCCATTGAAAAGCGACAGAAACTGAAACAGGAACTTGTGCTACAACAAGAAGACTTCCTTGTCAATACCGTGAGTGTAATTCCTAAATTTTAAAAAACAATTAGAATTGTCTTGCAGTTGATGATGCAATTTATTCTGAACATAATTATATACCCTGAATTCTTTTTTCTTTGAAGGAGTTAAAAGTATTGCGCTCTCCAAGCCCCGCCCCACCACCAGTTGTAGAGGAGGTGGTCACGCCTGAACAGTTTTCAGTTAGTCAGTTACTGAATCTCTACCAACAGGTCAGTTACAGGGTCGTGTGTATAAAAATAACATTGTTCCATGTTAAATCGGCAAACACAAAATTTTAGTCAATATTTGATAATAGTTATAGTTTAGGAGACATATTTGGGCATAAAAACTTTACTAAACACTTAACTAAGGAGATGCTTATAATCCATGATTTTGAGCTCTAGTAATGCACCAAAGGTGTAAAACTACTGTATTTTTTTCTTTTGACAGTTCACGGCCACAGCTCCTACAGGAGTCATGTCCAAGCAATCTTTTGTGGAGACTTTTGAGAACATGGTGTCTGTGTCCTTTGGAATGGAGCAACTTCCTGACATATGGATGAACATCTCTCCTCAACAGGTAGTCATGTGATCTACTGAATTTACTTTTCGTCTCCATCATTGTGTTTTAATTATTGCTAGCATGGAATATTCCCAAAAAAATTAAATTTAATGCTTTTAAGTAAAGATGAAAAGGTCATGCACATGCTTAAGATGATTTCGTGTACAAATGCATGAGCTTGCGAGCTTGCAAAATTAAAATGATGAAAAAGTTGAGATAAATAAAAAATGAAAAGATAAAATGGTACTTAAATTAATTTTCTCCATTTTATCAGGTGCAGGAGATAGCTAATGGACTGTCAGCTAATGTGGAGTATGTGGACTGGCGGCGGTTCCTGATCGCGGTGGCCCAGCCTCTACCGTCACCCACACAGACAGAACTACTGGAGACGCTGCAGAAATTCAGAGAAATGGACCAAAAATCCACAGGCTTTGTCACCAGGGAACAATATGATAGGGTGAGCTGAACCTTAAAGTTATATAATGCAATTTTTTTATGTGATTTTGATATAAAAATTCTTGTCTTTACCAAATTGTAGAAAAGTTTAAGAAAAGATTACTTTACTCTAAAAGCAAACATTATATCTTTACTCTTGTCATATATATTTTGCTGATGAGCTTGTAACAACACATTTATTTTTTACGTGTAGATGGACATTTGGTTTGGATGCAAGTCCTCTAAGGGTGGGGAGTTTGACCGTTCAGCCAAACTGAAGGCAGCTCTGTTCGACTTCTTCGCAGACCACAGTAAAACTCCTCCTGTAATGAATTATGTCAGCATGGTAAGGATAACTCATTAATCAAAATCTTGATTTTGATAAATTTTTTCACTTGCAATATTATTATAATTATCTTATACTCAAGTCTAAAAATATAATGAATGATTTAAAATCCAAAATTCAATTAATGCATTTTTTGTAAAACACTTCCCATCTTCTACAAAGATTTTGAAACAATATTTTCATATACCCATCTCCATATTTGTAGCTGATGTACTTCAGTGCTTCATCAAACTCCAGTGAAGGATTCCTACGAGCCTTAAGTGTGGCCTCAGGAACTCACATGCCACGATTACCTCGGAATGAAGTGAGGGCACCCAGTAGATCTGACAGGTACGTTTATATGGGTAAACAGTTATTTGATACTACATGTAAACAGTTAAATATTTATTATACATGTAATAAAATACAATATTCTAGAAAGCAATGATCAATTGAATTAGATAGTTTTAGTATAATTTCAATATTTGTGTGCTAGCTTGTATACTTGTATGTATTTGAACAATTCCCCTTTACTTTGTTCTTCAGTAACCCTGATATTGTGGAGGACCACTCCCCCTCACCCCCCGTACCGACCGACATTCCTGAGGATGCCATCAATGCCAGGGTACCACTGGATGCTCTCTATCAAGTATTACATCACGGAGAGAATGCCAGTGGTGACAGTCACCGCTTCAGTGTGTCAGCTGATCCAGAGGACGCCACGTCTAAGGTCAGTAACTGAAATTACAGGAGAGTTCAGTTCTGTTCTGTCTGACATTATACATGTAGATCCTGTACAAGTTATTCATATAAACTGGTCAAAAATCAGAATTGTAATCAATACAGCTTCTTTAGAAAATATCTGAATTTCAGGTTCCAGGCTCATAAAATTTAGATTATCTCACTTTCCATCTCAGTTCCACTATATATTCCCTTTGTAAAAGTGAGACCGAGATCAAAAGTTAGCTTGTCTAAGTTTTATGGCCCTGAAGCCAGAACATGAATGCATATTTTGATCATTTAGTGGATCTGATTATATTAGAATTCTTCAGAGTGCTGAATGGATGGATGTTATTGCTACATGTATCATCTTTTCTGATTTGATCTGTCTTTTATTGTCCCCGCTTGAAAAGTGGGGGATATTAATTTGGGTTTGTCCGTCCGTCCGTCCGTCCGTCCGTCTTTCTGTCTGTCTGTAATGCTTTCGTTTCCACACGATATCTTGAGAACCCATTGAGCTTTTGCAATGAAATTTAGCATAGCAACTCCCTATGGACTAAAGAAGACCCCTATTGATTTTGAGGTCAAAAGGTCAAGGTCATAAATAAGCAAATTCTGTCTGTTATAACACTTTCATTTCCACACGATATCTCTAGAACCATTTGAGGTATTGCAATGAAATTTTACATAACAACTCCCTGTGGCCTAGGGAAGACCCCTATGGATTTTGAGGTCAAAAGGTCAAAGTTCGAGGTCGTAAATTTATACATTCTGTCTGTGTGTAACACTATCATTACCGGGCGATATTTCAAGAAGATTTTGAGCTTATGCAATGTAATTTTATACCAAAACTCTCAAGGACATTTCTCACCCCTCTCCAAATGCCCTGCCCCGTTTGTTTTATTAGTATTTATAGTATTACATGTTGCTATTTTTAGCACAGGGGCATGCGTAGAGTAATTGTGTAAAAAACAGGTTCTCGGCGGACTTTATGTTCTAATACATCTATTAGAACTGTTTAATAAGGCTAAATAAATCAAACACCATGGATTGTGTAAAATTTTGACAATATCGAGCATGAGTATATACATGTATGTGACTTCACTTCTGCATATACGCAATGACATTTAAAGCGCCTCCGTGGTCTAGTGGTATGTCTCCCGATTCATAAGTGAAAGGTCCCGGGTTCGAATCTCAGACGATTCTTTTTTTTTTTTTTATTTTATTTTTTTTTAAATGATAGTATTCAGCATGTGAAAAGAAAAATTTATGATGTTATAAAATCATTATTACAGTGTGATAAATATTCCATATAAAAAGAATCTTCTGTACACATAATAGAGAATAAGCAATCAAATCTTTATACGCATATTGACATACATGTATTTTATTTGCATTAGTATACATTTAATATAATTCTACTAATTCAGTCAGGGGGATCCGACTTTTTCCCTAAGCGGGGGACACAAATTCTCTGAATTAGCTTGTTTTCCTTTTTCTTTCTTGCTTTTTTTCTTGAGGAATTGTGTTCAGCACATTAAAGATACATTAGTACATGTATTATAATTCTATTGTAATTAGGAGTTGTTTTTTTTTTTACAGGAAAAGCTGTCTAGTGTGTACCAGGAGCTGGGCAGTGATAATTTAGAACCTCTTCCCTATAAAGTCCTCGTGGAACATCCCCTCATACAAGATGTAATGGCTGCCTGTCAGACATTTAAATCCCTGGTCAGTACTTACAAATATCTATATATCTATATTAATTACATTCTTGCTGAAATATCAAATGTGTCGTAGAAAAAGGAGAAGTGTAATTACCCATTGCACAATACAATATTTTACAGATATACATGTAATTGATTTAAATGAAGATATTTTTTGGTACATCTTAAGTAGCATTTGGGAAATCTTAAGTATAGATTTAAAAAATATTATTTTGCAGGATATTCGTGGAATACTAAATAATCCAACCCAAGATATGGATATCCACAGCACAAAAACAATGGAATAGAAAAGCAAATGCTTGAAGAAGTGATCATTTTTAAGACTATTTTAACATTTTCTTGCGTATATATATACTACTTGGACAGAAAAAAAATGGAGACTTTAAATTGTACATATGTAAATGATTTATTTCTATTATTAATATATAATAGTAGCATAATTTTGATGTGAACTGATTATACTCTTTGCAATCTGTGATGGGTGTCACACTTGATACCCTCACATACCAGAGGCACTGCATTTGTCTGTGATCAGCACCAGGTGAAGGGGATGTGAAGTGATGGGAGGGGCAAATTCATTACCAACACAAACCGCCAAGGCACAGATACATGTACATTAATACTGCATTTTGTTTTGGATTTGTCACTGGCATTGTGGACTTCCTATTAACTTGCGGCTGTCTACAGTATCTTTAGTCCTTGAAGACTGTTTATTAAAGATATATTTAAGTGAAATTTGTATTTATTTAATTTGTGCTATTTTGATATTTTACAAGACTAAGAGCATTTATTATTTGTGATCGATACATGTAATCTGTGATAAAACTTTGAAGAATACAATTTTGGTTGTTTTTAATAAACTGATGATTACTGAAATTAATGTTTTATTCATTTAAGTAGATGACCACAGGCCACAGCACTTACTTGAGTGAATTAGCCCTGCTGCTTTTCATGAAATTTTTAACTCTTTATGTTCATTACATGACTAAAACGCCTACATTTTCTTTAAATCTTTTCCTTTGCTATTTTCATCTCATCAAATAGATAGAGCGTTCTATCGTTAAAATGTTATTGTCCTACGGACCGGTGAGGGCTTGTACCAAAACACAGTTAGATTATTCTAAGTACTCATCAAAGTACTGCTTCTGTGGTCCTTTGTTCTTCAGTAAGTGTATGTACTGGAAAACTGTTAGTAGAACTTCCTCAAACTGTTCAAGTCCCCGGTCAGTAAGGGTCAGGTTCACCACAAACTGGGTGGCAGTGGTGTTCAGTTCAAATCCATTGTAGCTGTGACCACTCTCCACAGCTGTAGCAAAGAAGAAATCTGTGAGCCAATGCTCACTAGTAATACCCCCGCTCTAATGTAAATAAGCACTACATGTATCATGTTATACTGTTTAAACAAGTTCAATTACAGGCATATGAAGTTGACATCAGATTCATATCAAAATTAATCCCACCATATGGCATGCCTCAACAAAGTGGGTAAAAGAATTTCAAGCATCTGCTATGAATTGCTAATGAGAAAACTGCTACCAAGATTTGTCATGTATGAAACGGACAGATGCACAGACAAACAGGAAGTTGATATCAGATTTTTACAAAAATGTATCCCACCATAAAGCATGCCTCAGAGAAGATTGTATAAAAATTTCAAGCATCTACGATGAGTAGCTGCTGAAAAAACTGTGACGAAAATGTGTTATGTATGAAACGGACAGACGTACAAACAAACAGGAAGTTGACATCAGATTTAAGCAAAAATGTATCCCACCATATGGCATGCCCCAGAGAAGATTGTTTTAAAATTTCAAGCTTCTAGGATGAGTAGTTGCTAAGAAAACTGACGAAGTTTTGTTTCGGACGGAGACACAGACAGACAGACACACAAAGGGTAAAACAGTATACCCCCCTCTCCTTTGGAGGGGGGGGGTATAAATGTTTATAAAATGTTCAAAGAAAAGATGACAAACAGCGTTTAATTTCAAAAAATCTTTCAACAATACAATTATATGAATAGGTCATAAAACAAAGACGCCTGTAAATTCTAGAAAAGAGATCAGGTGACATGGAGGAGTAAGCATCTGTTGTACAGATATAACTGTTTTGAATCCAATTTATTGCATAAATCAAGTTCAGTATAATTACAAAGGACTCACGATTGGTATGAAAAAAGTCAACTACTTGGCTACATGACCCAGTGATCAAAGAATTACTCATTTCATCAGCAAAAAAACTTAGTTTAAAAAAAAAAACTATTTCTCACTTCCTCTCAAAGTAGAATGCATTGAAAATTTTACCTTCTTTTACTTACTGAGAAATATGAATGAATGTGTCAATTTACTTTGAGAGAGGCATGGCTGATGGGAAAGGTCTGGACAACTTCCATGAATTTTGGATAGATGTCACATTAATATAATGCATCAAAGACTGAATTTGCCACAAATTATTAGTTTACATATACATGTATAAGTAGAAAATTTGATAACGAAAATAATAAGATATTACTTTATTAAGTATATCATAAATACATGTAGTTCTCATTTTTGTGATTGTGAAGTGGTTATACGTATAGTATCGGGGTCGTCTCATTGACCTCTCTCTTGAACATTACTCTTAGTGCAATTATCAGTAATTTTAATCTTTACTTATCAACAAACAGGAAGTTAATTTCCTTATCAATATAACCTCACTTAAATCGCACAGGTGTAAATTCATTCAAAATGGCTGATCAATAAAAGTCATACTGGTGATAAACAGTAAGTTTAAAAATTACACGCTTTGATCCACTTATATAATCATAATGAAGCATATTCAAAATAGGGTGCTATCAAAGCCACATGAATGTAAAATTAAGATTTTCATCCTAATTTCTTACAAATTAGAGCAGGTGGGCGGATTTTATTTGTTTTATTAGGCCTTCTGTTAAGATCTAAATAATGATCCTCTTATACAAAATTTTCACATTAAATGCTAATGTGAATACTATAGGTTTGATTGCTTATTCTTTAAATTGCGTACCAATTTTTTGTATATTTAATATTTATTACACTTTAAAAACAATTTTATAAGAATGTTTGTATATATACCAAACTTATAATTATATGTTTGAAATTGGACAGCTGTTGCGCACGACCGAAATAATTTGTGCATAATTGATGCTTTACATCTTATTCATCACTTTTCATTGGCCTTTTTCAAATTCATCAGTTTTCGTTTGACCAATAAATCCTTTTGCTTTGTCAGAAAATATCCAGTTTTTATAATGTCCAATGTTTCTTCTGATATTGTCAAAATTTTACGCAACGTATGCATGGTGTCTGTAAGTTAGCCTTTACTAAACAGTCCTTTTAGATTTACCACTTTCTGTAGGAATAGAATCATATAAAGTTAGACAACAGCCTTTATTACATGTAATAAACTCCTTTTTTGCTCTCCACATGATCCTGTGCTGCAAATAATGCTAAAAATAGTGCCACACAACTTTAAATACAAATGGGAGTACCTTTTACAATCATTGATACAAACAAATTTCCAACTGACATTAAAAAAAAAAATGTTGAAAAAATCAAAAACAATGTGGTGGGAGGGATGTAGGTGAGGATGGGAATTTAAAGTTTATTTTTATCTGGTCTTAAATTTTAATAAAATTTCGATTACAATTGTATGTTTCTGGTGCAAAACCTTTTTGAATACTAAATACTCTGTATACATTGTATTAAAGATAATTTTAAAAAATCTCGCGATTCCATTTGAACACATCTTTAACCCAGAACATCTTTCAACTTAACAAATAGATTATTCTTAATGGCACTTTTTGCAGATGGCTTTGTCAAAAGCACAATTACCAAGTACACCTCAACACTTTTTAGAGTGTGGTATTGAAGACTGTGAGAGAAACTGTGAATTCTACTGCAATATTTGCCACACAAGATTATGCAAAAAATGCAGGGATGAACATCAAAGAAGTCTAGAGACGAAAAGCCATGAAGTAGTGCTATACCAACAATGGAAACGGCAACTACCCACAGAAAAATGCAAGATCCACCCCACCAAGGATATAGAACTTCTTTGTGATGAATGTAAAATCCCGATTTGTTCCAAATGCACCGCAACACCAGCACATAAAGGTCACACATTCACTGACCTGGAATTAATTTATTCAGAGAAGTTTTCCCATTGTCAAGAAGAAATTGCAAAAATTCATGAGTATTTCTTGCCAACATCTAAAGATTTACAAAGAGAAATTAACGGAGATGTCACAGAAATCAAGAAGATCATGGACAACATAAGAACCTCCATGAAGACTGAAGCTGAGTCCGTTAAAATTCTGGTGGACAAAGTGACTTCTGAAAATATGGAAGAAGTAAACAAAATAGAGCAGTCATTCATGGAAAAATTAAATAATCAAGAAACAACAATAGAAAAGTATATAACCTATCTCAATGACCTGGATAAGAAGTTCCATGTTTATTTGTCCTCTTTGAAGCCTTCAAAACTTTTCACTGCAGAGGATATGCAAATCCAACCCATACCAGTGACAACAAAACCAGTAATGCCTGTATTTACTGCTGGAAAGTATAGTGAAGATGATATTGCCAATTTACTGGGGAAAGTTACTTTTCCAAACATAGAAGAAGAGGCGAGAAAAGCACAGCCCCTGAAAACAAAAACTCCAAAATCAATTCCGAAATCAACAACCTATCAAGTAATGAAAGACAGTCAACCGGAATCTAATGTGAAACAAACACAGTCTCTGTCTTCCTCTGTCACTAAGGTCAGGGAGTTCAAAGTACCAGGTGTTGACTGTATATTCCATATGTCACTAGATCAGTCAGGCAGACTCTGGGTTAGTGATGATGATAGTAACCTTGTCCAAACAGATCTACAGGGGAATCAGCTACAGAAGATACAAACCAGTGGTGGAGGTGGTTACCACGCAGTGACACTGGACGGGGATCTGATCTTTACAGACATGCTCAAGAAAGTCATCAACAGGATAACACTGGATAACAATATCACTGAATTCATTAGAACAGGAGACTGGTTACCAATCAGCATACACTCCTCCCACATCAATGGGGACTTACTTGTGGGTATGGGGAAGAGGGATGGGGTAAAAGTCACCAGGTACAACAAGACAGGGAAAGAACTACAGAACATACAGAGGGATAACAAAGGACAGGGACTGTATAGTAAACCATACTACATAACAGAAAACATCAATGGAGATATCTGTACATCAGACTGTAGTAAAAAGGCAGTAGTGGTGGTAAATAAATCAGGACAACACAGATTCTCCTACACAGGTCAGGGGTCAAAGTATCGTCCCCATGGAATCTGTACTGATGTCCTCGGTCACATACTGGTGTTTGATATGCAGAATATTCACCTCCTTGATAAGGATGGTCAATTCTTATCTCTACTAATCACACCAAAACAAGTATCTTGTCCCATTAGTGTATGTATGGATGATGAGAACAATCTTTATGTGGGACAAGATAACAACACAGTAAAAGTAATTAAATATCTCCAATAAAGACCGAATAGTTTGCTACTTTATTTTTCACTAGAAGTTTATGTATCTATTCTCCGTATAATGGCGATATCATTATTTAATTATTTTACAGGTGAGATGGAATTTTTAAATAAAAATGACGGCAAAGCAAACTATGAAAATAAAAGGCTACTTTATTTAAAGTATTAAATGAAAAAAAGTATGCCTTACTATAGCTGAAACAACTTACTAGTAGATATCTTCTCATAAATTTATATGAGATGTTTAACTTGTAATCACATGTAAGAATTTTATTACTCCAAGAAAATTACATGTATCATTTGTCCCCGTCTGTCTGTCAGTCTGTCCTGCTTGGATTTCCATACTTTTTTCTAAACACTTGCAGATATTGAGCTGAATTTTGGTATGTATGTGAGCGTATCTTTATGAGTTACAGACCAAGTTTTAAATTCGTTTCACCTCGTTGATTTTTGACAGAATTATGGCATTTTTTGTATTGGTTTAAGATTGAGTTTGTGCTGCGCTAAATTCCTAAGGTCAACATGGTAAATATGAAGCGAGAAAAGACATAAATTTTGCTTACTGTAAAGTGACATCCTAAATAAAAAGGGGAACCCGGTAGGGAACATAACATATATTGCTTCTGCAATACTCTCAGAATGCTTGTTTGTATTATGCTCTCATCATGTCCGAATCCATATATAAAACTGTTTGGTAAACAATAAACGTTTCATTTATTTTGTTTCTATATGATACATCTCAATATCGTATCTTTATACATGTACCATTAAAATAATTCAATGCTGAAATAGCATCTGCTAGTAATTCAACGAATCTCCATTCCCTAAATAATAGTATCTTTTGTTCATAAGGTCGAAGTATTAAAACCATTAAAAAACCTCAACAACCCCTGTCTTTAACATTTCTCACTGTGACTATCTGCATCCTACATCAGTTTGTGATACAGTGGTAGTCAAACATTGTCAGTTTAGATCTGAGCTGCTGTATATCACTGATACACTGATGGTCAGGGTAGTTACAGTCTTTGACAGGTCTCACAACATAGCTCTGTTCTCTGTCACGTTTGTCTGTGTTAGCTTTCTTCTGGGGAGGTTCCACTTCATCACTCTTCCAATCTTCCTGCTCCACTTCTGGGTTTCCAAGAACCTGGAGCACGGATAACAGATTAAATTCAAACGTGAAATAACAAGACTTTTTTTAGAACTTGAAAGACATTGGGGGGAATATATAAATAAACAGCAACAAGTTTAACTCTGAAACTGCTAAGTATAACACATGTAAATCTCTAATTTAAATGTATTTTTTAAATAAAGGGTTTCTAGAATGTGAAAGGAAATTGTGAAATTTTTTTTATACCTGAAGCTTATCCGTTTCTGATTTTCGCCAAGATACTGTTTGTACCAGTTCTGCAGGTCTTCTAGTGTTAACGTCCTTAATATAGCCACCTACAGTTACAGCAGAAATAGATCATTCCATGGAATGAACTTCCATACAGATTACAATACCTACAATTTATGTTATAATGGCACTTCAGACTTAAATGCATAGCAAATTGTGTCAGAAAACATTATATAAAACTGCCCTTTATAAAAATCAATAAGTTTTATAGTACAGACCTCTTTCTCTAGTCTGTCAAACAGTAGTTTTGTTCCTTACACTCCCCCCCAAGTATCTGTTGACTTCCTCCTCTAACTGAGTGTCTTCTGTAAGCCTGGCTGCTATCAGAGACTCCACCTTAAATATAACATACAGACTTCAGACCAAGACAACAAAGATCTTAAGTATACCATAGGGACTTCAGATCAAGACAACAAGATTTTAAATAAAACACAGGGACTTCATATCAAGACAACACAGATCTTAAATATTCCACAGGAATTTAGGACCAAGACAACAAGATTTTAAATATACCACGGGGACTTCAGATCAAGACAACACAGATCTTAAATATTCCACAGGGACTTAGGACCAAGACAACAAGATCTTAAATATACCACTGACTTCAGACCAAGACAACAAATATCTTATTAAAACACCTATCTGTTCAATACCTGACTAAAACACCTATCTGTTCAATACCTTACTAAAACACCTATCTGTTCAATATCTGACTAAAACACCTATCTGTTCAATACCTGACTAAAACACCTATCTGTTCAATACCTGACTAAAACACCTATTTGTTCAATACCTGACTAAAACACCTATTTGTTCATTACATGACAAAAACACATATCTTATCATTACCTGACCAAAACAACTACTTTTTTTTAAATCTAAATTTGGTTTCCACTACTATCTTCATCTCATCAAAGTACTGCTTCTGTGGCCCTTTTCTCTTCAGTAAGTGTACGTACTGTAAAACTGCCAGTAGAACTTCCTCAAACTGTTCAAGTCCGCGGTCAGCAAGGGTCAGGTTCACCACAAACTGGGTGGCAGTGGTGTTCAGTTCAAATCCATGGTAGCTGTAGCCACTCTCCACTGCTGTAGCAAAATATAAAAGTATGGTTAACAAACAGCACTTGATTTCAAAAAATCGTCGAACAGTTCAAATATATCTATATCAAGAGGTCATTAAACAAATAAAAATTAGAGGTGGAATCAGTTGCGTAGGAGGAGTAAGCATCCCCAGTTATACCTGCTGTGAGTCCTATGTATTGATTAGTTGGACAGAACATTACGTAATCAAATATAGTATGAAAACAAAGGCTTAACAATTGATATGAAAGAAGTAAGTCAAAATACGACCCAACGATTAGATAATTATTAATCATTTTAATTGAATTAAATCATTAAACAAAAACATGTACATTTACTTAGAAAAACAGAAAAAAACATTCTGCCTTCCTCTCAAAGTAGATTGGTACGTAATTATATTTATGTATTAAGAATTTCACTTTGTTTTACCTACTGAGAGATATGAATATAGTTCTCTCCTACCCGTGCATGCTTGATCACATAAATTATCGAAATCTTGAATATTTACGCCTCTATGCTGTGACATCATATTCAGCCAATGACAATATTTGTTTCCATGGCAATTGAAATCAACATCAACATCACCAGTACATGAAATTACTTCCTTAACGACGATAAGGTATTGAAATGTTCATTTTCCAGCTATGCTTTACTCGTACGATCTCTTCTCATTCAATCAAGGCCTGAATGGGAGAGGATCATACATTTTGACCGTGGTTTGCGACGATGGGCTTACGGGAAAGGTCTGCACAACTTCCCAGATTTTATTTTTTGTCGTATTAAAAGTGCCCCAAAGACCGAATTTGTCACCTACATAAGTTTATATATATATATAGGTAGAAAAGAAATCAGGTAAAAAAAATATAAATATTACTTTATTATGTATATTATAAATAGTCTCATTTTTGTGATTGCTAAGCGGTATAGTATCGGGTTTCTACGAAAGACGAATAGGGCCACATAAAAAATATTTTATCTCGTAATTACGAGAAAAGATCTCGTTATTACGAGTTAATTATCTCGTTATTACGACAAAAGATCTCGTAATAACGGGAAAAGATCTCGTTATTACGAGTTAATGATCTCGTTTTTTACGAGAAAAGATCTCGTTATTACGAGTTAATTATCTCGTAATTACGAGAAAAGATCTCGTAATTACGAGAAAAGATCTCGTTATTACGAGTTAATTATCTCGTAATTACGAGTCTCGTAATTACGAGAAAAGATCTTGTAATTACGAGAAAAGATCTCGTTATTACGAGTTAATTATTTCGTTATAACAAGAAAAGATCTGGTTATTACGAGTTAATTATCTCGTAATTACGAGAAAAGATCTCGTTATTACTAGAAAAGATCTATAAAAACAATATTGCAACCGTCAAGCGATAAGCGCGTGCAGTTACATGTATCAAAGGGACGTCACGAAAAAGTTTACACTGAATTAAACGTTTTCGCTAGTCTATAGATTCATATAAGGAAGCATATTTGCAAATGTATATATTTAGTTAAAACAGAGACATTACTGTTTGATTTTTGTAGAAGATAGGGGGATCAGATAGCGCAAATCCCCTTTCGGTGTAGTCGTGAAATACAATTTTGAGTTTATTTTTGTCCAATTAAATCTATTCAAATATATTATAATACAAGTTTGCAAAAGCATAATTTCTAACTATATTCAGTTTTAATATGTTTAACAAACAATAAGAAAAAAACCATTTCCATGTATTTTGGTGGTATCGAACCCACACCATAAAAAGCCTAGTTATATAAGGTTAGCATTACATGTATGTCTGGTGCTTTTTTTTATCTTTTATTTTCTTTTTACTTTAGTTTGTACATACTACATACATGTATTAAAAATATATACCAGAACGTACTGTAATTCAAATTATACAATTTTAGAGTCAGAGCTCTCACAAAACGAAATTAACACTCTGATCGGAGAAATGTGAAAATTTGTCTGGTGCTCTAACCACTGAGCCATTTCAGCCATAACAAAGTACGCTGTTTAAATACTATGTGTGTTTTTGTCCACGAATTTACGGACTTGTATCATTTTTTCAAAACGTTCAATTGTTGTAATACAAAATGATATTTTCAATGTATAGTGTGTCATCTCTCCACGTTTTTGTCTTGAAAAAAGATCTTTTCTCGGTATAACGAGATAATTAACTCATAATTACGAGATCTTTTCTCGATAACGAGATCTTTTCTCGTTATTACGAGATCTTCTCTCGTAATAACGAGATAATTAACTCGTAATAACGAGACCTTTTCTCGTTATTTCGAGATAATTAACTCGTAATTAAGAGTTCATTTCTCGTAATAACGAGATAATTATCTCGTAATAACGAGATCTTTTCTCGTAATTACGAGATCTTTTCTCGTAATAACGAGATAATTATCTCGTAATTACGAGAAAAGATCTCGTAATTACCAGATAAAAATATTTTTTAATGTGGCCCTATTTGTCTTTCGTAGGTTTCGTCTCTTTATTCAACAATACTTTGAGTGCATCAATCATTTTAATCTTTACTTATCAACAAATAGGAAGTTAGTTTCATTATCAGTATTAGTATAGCCTCATTTAAATCTCACAAGTGTAAATTCGTTCAAAATGGCTGATCAGTAAAGTCACACGAGTGATAAACAGTAAGTTTCAAAATTGTATGCTTTGATCCACCCATATAATCATAAAGAAGAAATACCTTTTTATAAATTGGGCACGTGTATTTTTCATGAGGTGGTATTAGAGACACTTGAATTTAAAGTATAGATTCTCATCCTAATTTGCTAAAACAATTGGGGCAGATGGGCGGATTTTGTTTTTTTTATTTTCTATTAGGCCTACTATAAACATCTATATGATGACCTTCTTACACAAGTTTTACATTAAAGATGCTTGGACATATTTTCTAATAAATTTTCTGTGTAATATCACTGTATATATAATATACGAACTGATAAATTTGTGAGGGGATTTGTTATCTGACATTTCTATTCTGAATTTTCTGGATTATAGTTAAAATCGCTACATTTTTAAGTAATAAGGATTTGTACAAGTGTACAAGTGCAAGGATATATCAATCAAAGGCGTTCAGAAATTCAAAGTTTCATTTTACCTCGAGATGAAATAAGATTTTCGTTTTCGTCCGTCGTCGTCCGTCGTGCATTAATTTCATGGCCCCTGGGTTTGGGGGTTCTGGTGTTAGGTTGGGGCTTTGTTGATTATATAGTGAAAATGAATATATTATTTAATAATCTTCTTTTCTGCACTCTGGGTATTTAACCAATAAACTATGTACATAGTCATGAGGAGGAAGAATGCCTCTTTCAGATTTTTGAATTTCAGGGCTCCTGGATGATCAGGGCTTCTTGTGTTAGGGCGGGGCTCTATTGTTCATATATTGAAAATGCATGAATTCTTTGAAAATCTTTTCCGTTGTTCCTGGGGATTATGCAATGATTTTATTTTATATTTATGACAAAGATGGTTTATTTCCTGGCCCCTGGGACAGAGGTACTTTTGGGGGAAAGGGAGTAACATAGTCTGAAAATAATTTAATGCTTTGAAATCAGCACTTTGGTATTAAATCAACATAAATGAAATTAATAAAATTTTCAAAATTTTGAAAAATGTGGCCCCAGGGTCAGTGGTTCCCGTGGGATGGGGTGCACAACTGTGGACCCGCCCTAACAGGGGCCTGGCATACACAAAAAGTGGAAATGCATTTTCTCTTTGTTACTCTGATCTACCTCTGGGTATTAAAGGTACTTGCAATGGACACAGATTTGAAGTTAATATTTTCTGTATTATATCACGAATTATATATTCTAATAGCATTTCACACAAAAATTAATTAAAAATCTTATTTCATTTAAAAGTTATTAAAACTTCAAATTTTTTAGCGTGTTTGATTGACACATCCTTGCACTTTCACAAATTTTAAATTTATTCTTAATCCTTAGGAAAAGTAGCAATCTTGTTGTGAATTAATAAGAAATATTAAAACTTTAATCCAGAAAAATATATTTTTTTTTGTTTCAGAGTAGAAATGTTAGAAAGCAAAACTCCTTCACAAGTATTGTCATTCCGAGCTAAGTGTTGTGTACAGAGTTTAGCAAATCGAGCACACTCGTGTTATGTACTACACAGTTTTTGTAAACAGGGCACGAGCTCTCTTATTCTTGATGTTTATGGGCGAATTTGTTGCACATAAACTGGTTCAGGTTTTGGTTCAAGGTTTAAAACTAGTTTTTCAAACTGGTTTAAATTTCAATCCAGTTAACCTCGGTAAAACAAATGAACAGTTTATACAAGATGGCGTCAAAAAGATGCAGAAAAACATACATGTATTTACCAAATTACACATCCAAATCTTTTCTTTATATAAATATCTAAGAAATTATAAGTATTTATCATGTTTATATTTGCTGATTATCTTACTTATTGTTAAAGTGCAGTATTTATATTTTTAATGCCTCAAAGATTAATCAAAATGAACACTTTCCAGATTTGAACACAAGGAAAGATAAACACTCGGGTATAAATAATTACTCTTTAGATTTCTAATGTTAAGCTGTCTTTACAGTATGTTCTACAATTTATAATACATATTGAAGTTTGTCTAAATGATTCAAAAATTATTTTTGAAAAGGAAAATTTAACATATTCTATCATTGTTATTGAACAAACACCATTATTTTTAATATGCAGCATATATCTATTCTCTGAAACCTTATATATACAATGTCATGTAGAACATCAAATATCAGAATGTGGCATTTTAGTCAAAAGAGATGTTCGTCCCCGAAAAAACAATTATTTATTACTTTTTATCTTCATTAGAATAGTCAACATCTTTCATCATCGCCATATTGGAATACTTCCCGCTCTTTTGTAAACTCTAATAAACCATCAGAGGTGGTTTGGTTGGTTTAATGAACAAGTTTCAGTTACAGCGAAAACAAATGAAAAACCGATTCTGGGTTTAAACTAGTTTAAAACTAGTTTGTGGAACAAATGAACGGTTTACAAAACTGGTTCAGAACTAAACCCAGTTTTTGAGAAACAAAGTCGCCCTTGGTCAATACATGTATGTTGTTCTGCATCTTTTGACGCCATCTTGTATAAACTGTTCATTTGTTTTACTGAGGTAAACCGGATTGAAATTTAAACCAGTTTGAAAAACTAGTTTTAAACCTTGAACCAAAACCTGAACCAGTTTATGTGCAACGAATTCGCCCTTAAATACCCCGTATTGGAAATCTAAAGAGTAATTATAAATACCCGATTGTTTATCTTTCCATGTGTAAAAAATGTGGAAATTGTTTATTTGATTAATCTTTGAGGCATTAAAAATATGAATGTTGTATTTTAACTATAAGAAAGATAATCAAAGAACATAAATACGTTATAATTTCTTGGATTCTTTTATTCAGAAATAGATTTTAACAAATTAATTTGCATGTGTAATTTGGTTAATACATGACTTGTATGTTGTTCTGCATCTTTAATTTTGACGTTTTACCCAGCTAGGTAAACCGGATTAGAATTTAAACCAGTTTAAAAAAAAGTTTTAAACCTTAAACCAAAACCTGAACCAGTTTAGGTGCACGGATCCAAATACTTAAAATACCAAATGCTTAAACTTTTATTCACCACTGCTCATTGGCCTTTTTCTATGGATAATTTTCCATTTGATGGACAAATACTTTGTCTAAAAATATCTCACAATTCCTCTTAAAATCTAATTTTTATGCGCCTGGATCGAAATATCCAAGGCGTATAATGTTTTTTTCATGTCTGTCTGTCTGTTTGTCTGCAAACTTTTACCTTCGCTATAACTTTTAAACCATGAAAGAAAAAGACTTCATATTTGGTATGCATACTCCACTAATTAAGCTCTTTCAAATGAAATCAAGGCCAATGACCTTGTGACCTTGACTGTGATCTATATGCTAAATATGTTTTTTTTCTGCAAACTTTAATCTTCGCCATAATTTTGAACCATAAAAGATAGAGACTTCATATTTGGAATGCATACACCACTGATTAAGCTCTTTTAAATGACACCAAAGTCAATGACCTTGTTACCTTGACTGTGACCTATACGCTAAATATAGCTTTTTTTAAACCTTCACCATAACTTTTGAACCATGAAAGATAGAGACTTCATATTTGGTATGCGAACTTCACTAGTCAACTTCTTTCAAATAACACCAAGATCAATGACCTTGTGACCTTGACTGTGACCTGTATGCTAAAGATATGTTTTTGAACTTTGTTGCCGCCGGGTGCAAAGTGTTCCACAAACACATCTTGTTCTTCTCGATTTTGCAAAATTTGCACATCATATGGTGACTGTAAGTTATAATTACCCTTTACTTAACAGTTCTTAAAGACTTGCCGTTTCCTATAGGGCTAGCATCAAGTCAAATCTGCCAACATATGTAATTATATGAAATAAAGCGATCTTTTTGTTCTTCGAATTCTCCTATGCTAAAAATAGCGTCACACAATTTTTAGTATAAGCATATTAAAGATGAAAAAATATCATTAAGAATTCTCATCAAATAATAAGCTAAAAGAAAGGGACGTATATTAGAACTTATCTTTAACTCAGAACACCTTAAATTCAGAAAATCATTCGATTTACCTTTAATAGATAATCCAGATGGCTCTGTCAAAAGCACAGTTACCAGGAACTCCTCAACACTTTTTAGAGTGTGGTATTGAAGACTGTGACAGAAACTGCGAATTTTACTGCAACCTTTGTCATACAAGATTATGTAAGCAATGCAGGGATGAACATCGGAGAAGTCCAGAAACAAAAAGCCATGAAGTAGTCCTATACCAACAACGGAAACGAGAACTTCCCACAGAAAAATGCAAGATCCACCCCACCAAGGATATAGAACTTCTTTGTAATGAATGTTTAATCTCGTTTTGTTCCAAATGCACTGCCACCCAAGCACATAGAGGTCACACATTCCATGATCTGGAATCAATTTATACAGAGATATTTTCCCATTGTCAAGGAACAATTGCAAAAATTCATGAATATTTCCTTCCAACGACTAAAGATTTACAGAAAGAAATTGATGGAGATGCCAAAGAAATCAAGATTATCATGAACATCATAAGAACCTCTATGAAAGCAGAAGCAGAGTCCCTTAAACGTCTGGTGGATGATATTGTCTCTGAAAATATGGAAGAAGTGAACAAAACAGAGCAGTCTCTATTGGAAAAATTAAAAAGCCAAGTTAAATCTATAGAGAAGTATAAAGCCTATCTTAATGACTTAGATAAAAAGTTCCATGTTAACGTGTGCTCTTTTGAACCTTCAAAACCTTTCACAGCAGGGGATATGCAAATCCAATCCATACCTGAAACGACAAAACCTTTGATGCCTTTATTTACTGCTGGGAAGTACAGCAAAGCAGATATTGCCAAATTATTGGGGAAATTAACCTTTCCAAACAATAACGAAGAGGTGAGAAAAGTGAAGCCTTCGAAAGTAAAAAATCTTACATCCTATCAGAAACGAACAAGCTATCAAGTAATAGAGGACAGTAAACCAATATCTAATGTGAAACAAACACTGTCCCTTTCTTCCTTTGTCACTGAGGACAGGGAGTTAACCGTACCAGGTGTTGACGAAGTGTACCATATGTCGCTAGATCGGTCAGGCAGACTCTGGGTCAGTAATTATGTTGGTAACCTTGTCCAAACAGATCTTCAGGGGAATCGTCTTAAGAAGATTCAAACCTGCAGGGGATATGGATACCACACGGTGACACAGGACGGAGATCTGATCTTTACAGACTTTAACAAGAAAGTCATCAACAAAATAACACTGGATAACAATATCACTGAGTTAATTAAAAAAAGAGACTGGAGACCAATCAGCATACACTCCTCCCACATCAATGGGGACTTACTGGTTGGGATGCTGAAGGGTGAAGAGGGTAAAGTAACCCGGTACAACAAGACAGGGAAAGAAGTACAGAACATACAGAGGGATAAAAAAGGACGGGGACTGTATAGTCGTCCACACTACATCACAGAAAACATTAATGGAGATATCTGTACATCAGATTTTATCAAAAAGACAGTAATTGTGGTGAATAAATCAGGACGACACAGATTCTCCTACACAGGTCATGGGTCAGGGTTCCTTCCCTGGGGAATCTGTACTGATGTCCTCGGTCACGTACTAGTGTGTGATCTGGAGAATGTTCACCTCCTTGATCAGGACGGTGAGTTGTTATCTCTACTATTCACCCTAAAACAAGCAACTTGTCCTATTAGTGTATGTATGGATGATGAGAACAATCTTTATGTGGGACAAGGTAACAAAACAGTTAAAGTATTTAAATATCTCCTTTCAATGAATACAGAATAGTGTGTTACTGTATTTTCACCAGAATTAAGTTTGTGTATCTTTCATCATATTCATTTAATCTCTGTATAATTGAGGATAAAATTATCACTGATTTATTTCTCAACTGAGATAGGCTTTACTAACTAAAAATTATGCTGAGTGAATAAATTTGTAATGTAAATGGTGTTTACTAAGTTTGAATTTGGCGCCATTAGTTGGCAGGTCATGTGACTTCCGCTCTTAGAGTATATAAATGCCATACCGCTGGCGTCAGTACATAGGTACGCCGACAGTTTCCCATAAGAGAGCGTGGATCGGACATCCTTAGTCTTGCGGGAACAGTTCGACAAGTCCTCAGTGAACATATATATATATATATATATATATATATATATATATATATATATATATATATATATATATATATATATATATATATATATATATATATATATATATATATATATATAAGAATAAGTTTCTTTAGTATTATGTGCTGAGTAGCCGAGTACTCATTTGTTGAGCACTCGTTGAGCGGAAGGTTTTACTCATTAGTTGAGTAGTATTTTGATTACTGTAAATTTGTATAGTTGGTATTTTTTGATAGTGATTTTTAACAGTGATTTGTTTTGTTAGGTAATTAAGGGTAATCATTTTTATTTTATACGAAAGGAACTCGTATCGCCTTATTTGTATATTTTGGCAGGCGATTATTTTTAAGTATAATTTATTGAGTCTTGGTCTCAGTTTAGTAACTGAGGGATCCAGTATTAAAAGAGAACACGTTACAAATTTATCAAAATATGTTATTGCTTTTATAATAAAGATTAAAATAAAAAAAATCTGCAAATATTTATACATGCTCAAAAAAAATATAGAACAATGTATGGAAATGGAATAAGTGTCTGTATTTTTTTTTTACTGTTGTAATCAACTGGTATGTTTTCAGGTGAGAACAAATGTCAGATGACACATGATACACAAGTCAAATATTGCTCAATTTTCATTAACAGATTAAGTACAAGGAAGGCAAGTAAATTCAAGAAGTAATTGTCCCTACTTTTGGTGTCTTAATGGATGGGATACCATTATTTATTTCACATTGAAAGCCTTATAATATGACATTCAAAAGTAATGAACAAGGTTAATTTTTTTTTAAATTAGCTCAAACATGGAGGTCAAGGAGTAAATAATCATAAATGCTCCAAAACATCTTGTTACAGGTATTAAATGCACATGTCAAATATTAAAACCCTGTGTCTTCTCAATCAAAAGTTAGAAGGAAAGAAAACATTTTTGAAAAGTAGGTCAAACTTTAAGATCAAGATGAAAGGGTAAAAAAAATCAGAGAATATTAAGAAAGGACTTGTCACTGGAAATATATAAGCTGCCTGTTTGTACATAAAATGCACACTCAGACAGAGGTTGACTCGATAAAGAAACACGCAATAGGAACCATGAATTCTTCAATTATACCCCCCTTCACCCAACCCTGTAATATGCCAAAATTGACAGAAATTAGTTCAGTGATTTCAAAGAAGAAGCTGAAATGATTCAAATGGCGACCGACGAAAATAGATGGCATTACATAACCTATGTAAACTGAAGTGACCTAAAAAGGGAATAAAGATAACAAAATTAACAGAAAATCTCTTAAAAACTTCAAACAATACAAATCTGTGAACATGGCATAAACATAGACTCATCCTGGAAAAATCAAGAGGTGGGATCAGGTGCTAAGGAGGAGTATACTGGGGAATCATTTTAATTTGGAGGGAGGGGGTCAATGTTTGAGGTAGGCAAGCATTTGTTGGTTTGTTGGTTAGTGATCTTGTGAATTACTCATATTCTTGATGAATTGTTTGTAGGAATTTTAATTCGTGGATAAGCGTAATGGTGGACCACGAAAGTCACGAACAATTATTATGAAGCAAGTCATCTGAGTGGTAGTTTTCTTTTGGACCAATTTGCGTATTATAACGGCCATACATTTCACAAAATGCTGACTTTAAACAAGGGCTTTGAAATATTTGTCTTCATATGGGTGAAAATTTGTCAAGAGGGACGGTAAATAACATACAATCAATCAATCAATCAATCAATCAATCAATCAATCAATCAATCAATAATTCTCTTAATAGTTCTAGTTGTTCATGAATCGCCAGTTTATTTTTTAAGAAGTTGAAAAATAAAATAAACCAAGGAGACAAGTCCCTCCTTTATCTAATACTTTGCTTCCACCTCTGCTATTGTAAAATATGTAGCTGTAAAATAGAATGAACAAATTAAGACATATAGTACTTTAGGAAGGTTGTCCGTAAAGTTCGCAGATAAGCTAAAATTTCAATAAAAGTATAAAAGTTGTGTCATTGATATTTTTTATAAGCATATCTACATGGATTTGTTAACTATAGTTTACTATGGCACGCCAAATTCACAAAAAAGCTAAACCTAGTTTAACAATTGATAAACTAGGTTTATCGACTGTAAACTAAAGTTTACAAACCAACTATAGTTTACAAACCGTAAACTATAGTTAACGATTCCTTAAGTATAGTTAACGATTCGTTAAGTATAGTTTTCATCTGTAAAACTATATCTAACGGTTGTTCACTATAGTTTACGAATGCTTTAGATTAATCTAAGTTTATCTGTCTGAATAAAGCGTATACAATAGATTTTGATAAACATAGATTCACGTTTGTAAACTATAGTTAAGAATTGTTAATCATAGTTTCACAAATCGTGAAACTATATTTATAAGATCGTTAACTATAGTTTACAAATCGTGAAACTGTATTTATCAGATATCATAATCTGTTATGCAATCGCAAATGATTGTTTTCGGTGTTAAGTATAGTTTACGGTTGTGAAACATAGATTATCGCGTTAACTATGGTTTACAGATGTGAAATATAAATTAAAGTTGTTAAGTATAGTTTACAGTCCGTAAACTATAGTTTACAACCATTAAACCTAGTTTATCGATTGTGAAACTAGGATTATCTCATTTTTGTGAATTTGGTGTGCCATAGTTTACGGTTCGTAAACTATAGTTAACAGTCGATAAACCTTGTTTATCAAATGTGAAACTAGGTTTAGCTCATTTTTGTGAATTTGCAAATTCACAAAAATGAGCAAATCATAGTTTCATAATCGATATAGTTTCACGATTTGTGAAACTATGATTAACATCTTAACTTAAGCTCACGATTGTTAATTACAATTAATTGTAAAAAAAAAAATTATAATACTCACTCAATCTATACTTGGGAGACATCATAAAAATCATACCAACAAAAATACCTCTTTCTCTCAAAGTAGATGGCTGTCTATGTGCTGCAGTGGTTGGTACTTCTGCTCTAGAGTTCGTATCCCACTGTGGGACGCGGTAACTGGTCCTTTGAATAAGACCATGAAGGATATGGAGATAACGAACAGTTTTCAATATCAAAGTCCATTAAACAATTTAAGAGAAAATAGGAGCAGAGCAAACACGGACCTCCGAAACATCGAAGGTAGGATCAGGTGCCATACAGAAGTGAGCACCGCCTGCTGACCGGTCAACCGCTGTATGCTCCTTGTCATGTTCGGGAAATGACGGAAAAATCCGTCGTCAATTTTGTGTATAAATAATGGACTAACAATTAGTATGAAAAAAGACAGTCAGCATTTGTTTCAATTGTATCTGCTGTCAAGGTCATTGTATCGACCAAAGAACTTACAAAATGATGACTCTGAACAAGACTGTTGATATTCTTGTTTCATCAACTTGTATGTCAATAATTTACCTCATTGTAGAAATTTTTCATACGTACAGCATGCTTTTGCGTAAAGAATTAATTGAGATATATAAACGCCGTATGCAGACGATGAAGGTACTATTGCTGCATAAATAAGAAAAGTTGACGATAGAAAAGTCATCACGTTTATCTTAGAGCTTGGTTGTTAGATAACCATTAACGTCTTTTTCAGGTCAAATATCCAGGTATGCGACAGATATGTCAGACTCTGTGGTATCTTTATCTAAAGCTCACTATATATAAGCTCACTATATATAAACCGAGGTCCCGTGTCGCAGTAGGTGCTGGTACTAGAAAAACCTCTTACTCCTCAATGGCCTTCAGTGCCAAGTATACATCAGAGAGTGAAAAATTCTCAAGAGGGACGTAAACAACAAATAAACAATCACAGTACATGTTTATTCAATGTATTAAAAATTTCAACTTCTTTTATCCTCTGGGAGACATGAATTAGTTTGTCAAGTCAATATAGTCTGCAGAAATGCCTTGGCGACTTCCCAAGGTGACCAGGTTAGAAGTCACACTAAACAATGTCCCAAAGACTAAAATTGCCACCAAATCGAATTTATAAGTATAGGTAGATACAATCAGATACTTTGATATATTACAATGTATTACTTAATTATGTACTGTAAATAGCTCTGTTTTTGTGTTTATGAAGCATGCCATTAGGTTTAATCACGAGATCTCTTTCTATATTTATCAACTAAGAATTAAATCGACAACCTCACTTTAAACTCAAAGGTGTAAATTCATTTAATATAGCTGATCACTAAAGTCACGAAATTGGAGATATACGTACAGTAAGTTAAATAATTCTAATGCTTTGATCAATTTATTTTTTCATATGCTGCATGAGTAAAGAGTTTTTTAAGAATTGAGAGTCCTTACTTGTTGTACGATTAAACTAAAATTACTATTTTCAAACCTTTAATAGATTTAAAGCATATCTTTAAAGGAGAAATCCTCTTCAAAATATCTGTATACTTTTAATGTTTAAAAAATCACAGGAAATATAGCTATTCAAGTCAACAGAATTACAAGAGCATATATTTAAATGCATGTCTCCATCAGAACAGCCTTAAATTTGCCAGAGATAATGTTCAAAAATTCTTTGCAGATGGCCCTGTCAAAAGCACAATTACCAGGTACCTCTAAACACTTTTTAGAGTGTGATATTGAAGAATGTTAGAGAAATTGTGAATTTTACTGCAACCTTTGCCACACAGGATTATGTAAACAATGCAGGAATGAACATCTGACAAGTCCAGAGACAAAAAGCCATGAAGTAGTCTTATACCAACAACGGAAACGGCAACTACCCACAGAAAAATGCAAGATCCACTCCACCAAGGATATAGAACTTCTTTGTGATTAATGTGAAATTCCAATTTGTTCCAAATGCACTGCCACCCAAGAACATAAAGGTTACACATTCACTGATCTGGAATCAATTTATACAGAGAAGCTTTCCCATTGTCAAGAAAAAAATGCAAAAATTCAGGAGTATTTCCTTCCTGTTTGTAAAGATTTACAGAGAGAAATTAATGGAGATGCTACAGAAATCAAGAAGATCATGGCTAACATAAGAACCTCCATGAAGGCTGAAGCCGAGTCCCTTAAAAGTCTGGTGGAATCAGTAACTACTGAAAATATGGAAGAGGTGAACACAATAGAGCAGTCATTACTGAAAAAATTAAATAATCAAGAAACAACAATAGAAAAGTATATAACCTACCTCAATGACCTGGATAAAAAGTTCCGTGTTTATACAAATCCAACCCATACCAGAAACAACAAAACCAGTGACGCCTGTATTTATTGCTGGAAAGTACAGAAAAGAAGATATTGCCAAATTAATGGGAAAATATAAAAGAAGAGAGGAGAAAAGTACAGTCCCTGAAAGAAAAACATTCTACATCATATCTGAAACCAACACTGTCTCTGTCTTCCTCTGTCACCGAGGTTAGGGAGTTCATTGTACCAGATGTTGACGATATATTCCATATGTCACTAGATCAGTCAGGCAGACTCTGGGTCAGTGAATGTGTTGGTAACCTTGTTCAAACAGATCTACAGGGGAATCAGCTACAGAAAATAAGAACCAGTGGTGTAAATAGTTTCCACCCTGTGACACAGGACGGAGATCTGATCTTTACAGACATGGACGAGAAAGTCCTTAAAAGGACAACACTGCATAACAATATCACTCAATTCCTTGAAACCAGACAAACCATACCATTCTGCATACATTCCTCCCACATCAATGGGGACTTACTGGTGGGGATGGGGACAAGAGGAGAGGCTAAAGTCACCAGGTACAACAAGAAAGGAAAAGAACTACAGAACATACAGAGGGATAAAAAAGGACAGGGGCTGTATAATGCACCATACTACATAACAGAAAACATCAATGGAGATATCTGTACATGTACTTCAGACTGTGATAAAAAGGCAGTAGTGGTGGTGAATAGAGTAGGAAAACACAGATTCTCCTACACATGTCAGGGGTCAAAGTTTCGTCCCCATGGAATCTGTACTGATGTCTTCGGTCACATACTGGTGTGTGATCTGTTCAATGTTCACCTCCTTGATCAGGATGGTCAGTTCCTATCTCTACTTATCACACCAAAACAAGTATCTGATCCCATTAGTGTATTGTGGATAACGAGAACAATCTTTATGTGGGACAAGATAACAACACAGTAAAAGTAATTAAATATCTACTATTTAACAAGATAACAACACAGTTAACATTATTCAATAGCTCCAATCAATGAACACAGAATAGTGTGCTACTGTATTTTTCACTAGAAGTTTAAGTATCTTTTATTTATTCTCCGTATAATGGCAGATATAATTATTCAATTATTTATTTTACAGGTGAGATGCGATTTTTAAATAAAAATGACTGCAAAGCCAAACTATGAAAATAAAAGGCTACTATATTTAAAGCATCAAATGAAAAAAAGTATGCCTTACTATTGCTGAAACAACTTACATATCTTCTCATAAATTTATATGAGATGTTCAACTTATAATCACGAGAAAAAATTCTCATTATTCCAAGAAAATTACATGTATCATTGGTCCCTGTCAGTCTGTCCTACTTGGTTTTCTGGACTTTTTCTAAATGCTTGCAGATATTGAGCTGAATTTTGGTATGTGAGTGTATCTTAATGAGTTACAGATCAAGTTTGAATTTCGTTTTGCTTCATTGATTTTTGACAGAATTACAGTCCCTGAGACGTTCTACTTTCCCATTTTTCCGTTCGCTCACCGTTCGTTCACCGTTCGTTCAGCGTTCGTTCAGCGTTCGTTCACCGTTCGTTCAGCGTGCGTTCACCGTTCGCTCTTCGTTCACAGTATTGCGTTCACCGTTCACCATGCGCTCGCGTTCACCGTTCATAAAACGTTCACCGTTCGCTCTTCGTTCCGTTTACTTTGCGTTCACCGTTCACTTATCGTTCAGTCTTCATTGTCATTCGGAACTCCGAAGTGAAAGGACTTATCTTTCTGATGGTAAGGATTTACATGTTTTTTTTAATTAAATAACTGAGATATCGTGTTTGAAGAATAATTATTTCATTACAAAAATTATCTATGATATTTATATTTCTATTATTATAACTCAGCTGTCACTTATTTCATGAATTTTCCCTGAAAAATAATTAATAAATTAAGTACCTACATGTATGTAGAACGATACTAAAATATTAACTTCAAAAAAGGGCAATGTACAAATGCTTCACACACGGCATCAATTTGATGTAATTTTAAAGAGGACAAATTATTAATGGATGAATTATAATTAATCCAAGTCTTTTACAGAACAAGACATAAAAAAAATATTTCTACAATAACACGTATTTTACAGGTCTTTTACAGGACTATACATGTACATAAAAAAATATTTCTACAATGACACGTATTTAAACTACATGTAGGTTTGAGAATGATGAACAGTACTGCAAATATTCAGTATTAAATATCTTTAGAGCTAATTAAATTGATGGTTTTAAATTTTAGAAAAGACCAACTGTTTAAAATAGTCTATTATAGGAGAAGGAAAATTCCTTCCTTCGCCGTACCTAAACATATGTTTAAAAATATGTTTTTTTGCCATTCAGTATAATAAAGACCCCCCCCCCCCCCCCCCTCTCGGTGCCTTTTCTCCCGACATAAAATTCTTATCGAGTTTTTTCGGTATATTTTAATTTATATTTAATTCTTATTGTAACACAAGAAAATCAGTCTTAAAACCAACATCAAACAGTCATTAAACAATGGTAATTTAGTTTAAACTTGTGCCGACAGTAGTTTTTTAAATTGGCCGGGAATATGTTTCACATTCAATATAAAACTTAATCCTTCCAAATATGTATTCTTCTTATTTTTTTCTGCAGGAATGCAAAAATCAGATCTAGATATGATAGGGAAAAATATTAAGATTTATTGGAATACTAAGTGACTCTTTGCCTTCGGTATGTTCGGTGAAACGCGATTTCCACACCTCCACTGTGTCGAATTATTTTGATTGACAGCACAAGCACGCTACTACAAATGTAGCACGGACTTCCTGTGAACTGTGTGAACTTGATGATGGAAAATAAAAGCCAACAATTACTGTCAAATGGATTTGTTAATCTAAAAAAAAGATTACCTTTATTGCTTGGAATATTTCGGAAAAATAAAAATAATTTTTATTTGATACAACATATATCTGAGAATCCAGGGGGTTATCTCTCTCTCTCTCTCGTACATTTCTCTCTTCAATAAAAAACTATGACAACACATTACTTATTTAGTTTTGACAATTTGATCTACACATGTATTACAAATAATTTGAATGCCTCTTTTCAACATCTTGACCCAGTATAATCTCGGCCGGGAAATGTCTACAGATACATGTATATGAAGAAGTTAGCTAAAATAATCGTCATAAAAGAATAAAAAGGCACCTAAATATAGAATATTTTGCGGTAGAATTTAATTAAAACGAAAATTTTTATGCAGTACGATAACAGTCAATTTCAACAGATAATTGTGATTTTTAAAAAAAATCCGTTATTTTACTCAGAATCCCTTTGGCACGGAAATACATGTACGGTTGTTTCAACCCCGTACAATGTAATTAATTCATTCTATAAGAAGTAGTTTTATCTTCAGAAATCCACATTATTTTATTAGTAGAAGGATATGGAAATAACGAACAGTATTCAATCTCAACGTCCATTAAACAAATATACAAAATAAGAGCAGAGCAAACACGGACCTCCGAAACATCAGAGGTGGGATCAGGTGCCATGGAGGAGTGAGCATCCCCTGCCGACCGGTCACACCCGCCGTGTGCTCGGTGTCATAATCAGGAAATAACGGAAAAAATCCGTGGTCAATTCAGTGTATAAATAATGGACTAACAATTGGTATGAAAAACGTCAGTCAGCATTTCATTCAATGATAAATTGTATTTGCTGACAAGGTCATTGTATCGACCATAGAATTTACGAAATGATGACTTTAAACGAGACTGTTGATATTCTTGTTTCATCAACCTGCTTGTCAATAATTTACCTCGTTTAAGAAATTGTTGATACGTAGAGCATGCTCTTGCGTATCGAATCAACTGAGATATAAATACTCCGTATGCAGGTGATGAAGGTATATTGCTGCATAAGTAAGGGAAGTTGACGATAGAAAAGTTAAAGTCATCACGTTTATCATATAGCTTGGTTGTTAGATTACCATTAGTGTCTTTTTCAAGTAAAATATCCAAGTATGAAGCAGAAGTGTCGGACTCTGTGGTATCTTTTATCTCAAGCTCACCAGGATATATCGTGTCGACGTAGGAATGGAAATTGTCATTGTTATTTGACAATTCGTCGTCGATATATCTAAATGTCGAGTTGAAGGTCACAGCAAGTGTTTTCTTCTTTTCACGCAAAAGATTTTGCATAAATTCTGCTTCATATGAATATAGAAATAAGTCTGCTAATAACGGAGCGCAATTTGTACCCATGGGAATTCCAATAGATTGTTGGAATACCTGGTCTCCAAAAACCACATAGATATTGTCAATCAGAAACTCAAGCATCTTCTTGATGTCAACTTCAGAGTACTTATGTGTGTAATCAGAATCTGTTTTAACGAAATAATTTTTCAAATGACCAATGACGAGGTCAGTAAACTTACGAGTTCCATTTTTGTTGAAGAAGCAGCTGTCAATGATATCAAAAAGCCTGGATTTTAATTTGTCATGCGGAATTGTTGTGTATAAAGTTGAAAAGTCGTAAGTTTTTATGCTGTTGATTTTTGTAAAGTCTTGTGATTTCAAATTGTCCAAAAGTTCTTTAGAATTTTTAAGTATCCACATCTGATTAACACCACTTCTTGAATAAATAGTTGTACAGTACTCTTGAAGTTTTTCCTTCACTACTGTCAATATTTTAGTGAGAAGTAACGAAAGAGGCTTGGTTGAACATTTACTGGAACCTGCAATGTATCTTTGTTTGTAAGGATTCTTATGAAGTTTCGGAATCAAATATATATAAGGTAGTTCAAATTCATTTTGGCTCTGTGGAATATTAAAAGTATTCAAAACTGACAGGTGATTTTGAAGAATCTCTTCCTTAGAAAGAAAGGTATATGTATAAGTAGGATTACAACTTGTTAAATCCAAGTTCTTCTAGAATGCAATTTATATAATGAGCCTTACAAACGAAGACAATGTTGTTACCTGCTTTGAATAAGAATAAGCATAAATATTTACTATATAAGATTAATTTATTTTTTAACTACGCGCGGTAACAAATACACGTTTGACGGCGCTTAAAATCATGTTATTCAAATATCGATTTAAACATACGAATGTGCAGATTAGATTTTTGTTTTAATTATATATGTATTTATCTATTTATTTCTCTTTTGTTTATCTATTGTTTATTTATATTTATTTATGACATTTGAATTATAGAATAAAAGAATAATTTCAATTCAAGGAAAAGACCGAAGGCTTTCCGAATAAATCGTTCATCTTGTGTTCACCGTTCGTTCACCGTTCACTTTGCGCTCGCGTTCGCGCTCCGTTCGCGTTCTGCGTTCACTCACCGTTCACCAAGTTGCGTTCACCGTTCGCACATCGTTCACTCACCGTTTGCTCTGCGTTCGTTCAGTTTTCGTTCACCGTTCAGGTGGGAAAGTAGAACGTTTCAGGGACTGTATGGCATTTTTAATTTTTCATAATGGTTTAAGATTGGATTCGTGCTGCGCCAAATACTGAAGGTCAATTTAGTAAATATGAAGCTAGAAAAGACATAAAATTTGCATACTGTAAAGTGACATCCTAAATAAAAAAGGGAAACCGGTAGGGAACATGTATTGCTTATTGCTTATTTATTCTGCTTACTCTCAGAATGCTTGTTTGTATTCTGCTCTCACCATGTCCCAGTCCATATATAAAACTGTTTGGTATACAATAAACATTTCATTTATTTTGTTTCTATATGATACATCTTAATATTGTATCTTCATACATGTACCATGTACCATTAAAATAATTCAATGCTGAAATAGCATCTGCTAGTAATTCAATTACTCTCCATTCCCTACATAATAGTATCTTTTGTTCATAAGGTCGAAGTATTAAAACCATTAAAAAAACCTCCACAACCCCTGTCTTTAACATTTCTCCCTGTGGCTATATGCAGCCTACATCAGTTTGTGATACAGTGGTAGTCAAACATTGTCAGTTTAGATCTGATCTGCTGTATATCACTGATACACTGATGGTCAGGATAGTTACAGTCTTTGACAGGTCTCACAACATAGCTCTGTTCTATGTCACGTTTGTCTGTGTTAGCTTT